AAAAACCCAGCCGCCCTTTAAAAGGGGGAGTTATTCCAGAGGTTCGTGGTTCGATTCCCGGCGAAGGCGTTGCTAAGTTTTCATCTCTTCGGCTTCCAAAAATTACCTAATGTCTCTACAATTTTCCAGAACTTAAAGATTATTAAAGAAAAATATTCGTAGTCAATCCATTTATTTTCAGGTCTGTAAAATTAGTCTGGGTTTCATGTAGGTTGAAACAGCATTTTAACTTTATTCATATTATTTATCTATTTTGTGTATAATATCTCTTTGTTTTCCTTGTAAAATCTCTGCAGTTCTTCATTTATTGTTTCTATTTTTCAGCAGTCGTAAGTTAATAGTCTCATCATAAGTAGTATGATTATACGCAATCTGAATATTTAAAAATATAAGTTTTTTCTTAGAACACTAGAAACAAAAAAATAAGTCATGCCCTCGTTAAGAACCGAAGCGAATAGATCTATAAGTTCTTTGGTGGACGTGGCTAGCAGTTGCACCTCGAGAGCCTGTGCAGAGGAATATAATAGTTCCTTATAGATAAACCATTTGAAATATAAACCTGAGTGTTAATAGATGCCTCTACTGATTAATAATTTGCGGAATTTTAATGTAAATGAATTCATAAACATCAGACGTTGTTCTGCAGTGTACCCGAAATTCTTAATTTTCTTTTCTATACCTCGACTTCTTCAAAATATTATATATTCTCCATGAATTAGAATATTATTCTGATGAAACAACAGCTTTTATGTCGTTTTTTATGCAGACCAGAAGGCAGATTTAAAAAACACTAAAGAAAATAGAGGACGACAGAAATGTGATAAGTAAACGTTCCTAGATTTTTCCTAGATAGTTTCTCACAAACTGATATCGATAAAATAAACTAAATCGAGAGATTAACGTCTGAGATCTAGACCAAGTTATTATGTAGACATAACCAAGATATTACGTAATTTGATTCTACACATTTAACCACACGTGCATCATTCATTCGTTAACAGCACAATAGCTTGTTATGCAATGCAATATTTGATTAACTCAGTATCATAGGAAACATCATTGTTATAGAATTCCTCAATAGTCATTGTTATGGAAGAATGTGAACATTTATAATGAAATTCAGTAAACACCGTGAAATATTAACAGTATTCATTAGCATCATATACATAATATTTAATTGCACCATCTAAATAACGGAAAAGAGAAAAATTATTTCTTTAAATACAAAGCTTAAATCTGTGTTTCTCCTAATTTTTGTATCATTTAACTCATTATGTTTCGCTTAGGGGTACACGCATATAGAATAATAACCAATACAAATGTTAATACTTAAAATAACTTGGAAGACTTTTAAATTACTGAGATACTGAATGAATGTAATAAGAGAATATTTTGGTATACGATTATTCTGTTTTTAGGTAAAAATGCTGCGTATACTGTATGTCTATTTTCTAAACAACAATAAAGAACTAAATCAGAAATTAGACATTCTCTTTAAATTTCTTTTTCTTTTATGGTGCTTGTTGCAGTCAAAATAGTGAGCAGATTTTTTGGATCCTCAGTTTCAGGTTTTTTGCTTAGCCAGTTTATCAATCGAAACGATACTATATGTTGATCTACTTCATCACAAATTGATACCCTGAGAATGCATATTACATAAAAATTCTTGAAAACTTATAATAATAAAACATTAAAATGTACATCGCATTAATCTACAAGAAAAAAGCGGTAAGTTTGGGCATATTTTATAAAAGGTTGCTTGCTACACAATAAAAACAGACCACAAGACTTCTATATAAATTCAGTCAAAAATCATTAAATAGATTTATAAAATTTTCAGAATATAGCACTTGCACTGAATGGCGAGGATTTATCTTTCTTGAACAATAAATTTAGTACAATTTATAATTCGCAGAACTGTGTATATAGGGGCAAAGCAGTTGTAACAACGAAATTTCAAAAACGCGTAAGGGTGAGGACTAAACATAATTTATCATCTAAAGACCACTATAAAAATTAGTCTTGCTGTATTTTCAGCGCAGGCGTTTTAAACTGTGTATTATATGCCGTGTTATTATAGTTAATATGGAAGCCTTATGGAAAAATACACTAAGGCTATGATGCTCATGGGAACGAATATCTTCGGGAAGAAGACTAATTTTTATGGAATACATGAGGAAAACTATGAATGAACACATGCAATCAGCCTATTTGCTTGATGGGCTGATTGCATAGAAATATTCGTTTGCCCATATTTGGACGCAGGTTAAACTACCAGTGTACAGCGATATTACCGTTTTATAAATAGTAGCACCTTTTTGTCAAAACGAAACAGTGAAAAGCTCAAATAAAAATAAATGTATAAAAACAAAGTCAGATTTGAAATGTTTTTTGCGTATTTCATAAAATGCTGGTTAAAATAAAATAATAAAATTTATTTATGCTAAAATAAATTCTGTGAATTATGTAAACACAGAGTAAACTTGTATTAAGTTTGTATGTATTTAAAAAATCACTTATAATAAAATCACTGGATTTATTATGAATATATTACATGAAATTAAATATTTTTTAACAGGCTAATATAAAACCAGGTTTTACCAGATTTCGTCTATCTCCCTCTCTAGTCCTCAAAAAAATCTTTAGGGCGAAAAAGTAAAGCCTAATACTTAAAAATGAATATATGTTTGCCTAGACTAGAAGAGAAACACGCTAATGTGACAATCAAAATCGTAAAAAACAACCTTATATTTAGCGTAGGTATAATGAAACACTCAATCGATTTCGAGGGCAGCTAAAGGTCCCTCCTCATCAAGAGAAAGAAATACATAGAAAGAAGAAAATAGGAATCACAGAAACACGTGGTGCTTATCAGCACTGCACGTGGTTATAACTAGATTTTTAATCAGAGTTGCACTGGCCGCCTACTTTTACTGAGCCAGACTGCCTACTTTTACTGAGCCAGGCTGTCTGATCAAGCATAAAGAAATATTAGCGAAGTTAAAATAGGGAGCGAGGGGCAGATGCACATTACGCTCAAAATCTGAACTTCTTATTTCTGTGATTCCTATTTTCTTCTTTCTATGTATTTCTTTCTCCTGATGAGGAGGACCTTTAGCTGCCCTCGAAATCGATTGAGTGTTTCATTATACCTACGCTAAATATAAGGTTGTTTTTTACGATTTTGATATGTTTGCCTATTAAACAATTATAACGCTATGTCACAAATTATTATGTAATGTAAATAAGCTTTAAATACCTAAAGGAGTTACACAGCTAATATAATTGCGAATGATCATGGGATATTTCTTCATGGAGAATTATGACGACTCCGGTCGTAAAAAATCTCCGATGTAAGAAATTTCCTGTTGTAAGAAAGAAAGCAAAATTTTGAAAACAATCTTTATATTTATTAAATTTTGGTTCTAGTTTAAGATTTAAAAAATTCATAATTTTTTAATATAGGAATGTGAATGATGTTTTCAGTTTTTTTAATGCTTGCTTTTAAATTCTTATGTTATTATGTGGCTATCTCGCCATCCCGTTTTTAATGAAAAACGATAATAAAACTCATCAGAAAACCTGAATTCGCTTTTAGATTTTATAACCCTTTACCCTTTAGGGATACCTGACATTTCGCATATATTAGACAATTTTAAAAGTTAAACGCGGGTTTAACCATCACAATGCCTGGAAGATGATCTGAGAATTGTTTTCATGATACTTTGAAATGAGATCATGTATTAGGGGCAATGACACGTGAGTTCCCAGAAGTATGGTGTGAAAACTTAACATATCACAGCTGCAAAGACTGATATTAATGCGTAAGTTACACTTTCATAGCACATTTTTGTCTGCTTATTGTCATGAAAACTGCTGAAGTTCAAGGTCAGACTATACAATTTCTTTGCGCTCGAGCGACCCAAATCACTTCCTCCACTTAACTGTAGCTGCTTCTTTTACTTATTATTGTTATTTTCATCATTTCAGTTGTTTTGTTTTTTAATCGATAGGAAAGCATGTCTAGTAGCGGCGTTGTGACCTTGTTCTAGTTTTTAATATGTCCATCCTAGGAACAACTTCGTTTCTGAAAACAGCTATGCTTATAAAAAGAAAGCAGTAAGCCATTATCTATGTAGATACTTCGCTATCGGGTGTTGGCGTAACAGGTTGCGATGAGCTAGATTCTTAACCGTATTCTTAGAAGAAATATTTCGAAAATTTCCGGGAACCATAATTCACGAGGATAGCGGATTTGAAGCCTAAAGTCATCTTCGACTATTATTACATATGCAGATTTTTTAGACTAAATATTCATGAAACACGCATTATAATTATTGAATAGGTAATTATGCATTCCTGGATACATAATAAATACACTGAAGCATTCAAATTGACAATCATTTAATAAATGTAGATAACTTCTCGAAACCACAGTGGTTAGATTTCTGACAAACAAGCATAATGCTAAGCTACACGGAAATACAAAATAACCCAGAAAAACAGAGTTAGGTTTGGTTCTCAAACTATAATTTTTAATTCCTAAATTTAAACAAATATTGGAAAATTGGATAATTATAAATTTATTGCAGCAGTTAAGAAATATGTAAAAGAAATAATATTGTATAAAGGGACCTGTAGCTTATCGAGTTGATGAAATCGTCAGACCTTTGTTAACTTTGCCTAGTACAGAAGGCAAATTACACGGGTTTCTCATGACGAGTTTCGTATGTATTAAAATTAGCGAGTAAACAAGCCAAAAATATAAACTATTTTTTTTTTATAAAGTATCCCATGGAACAAACCTCTCAGACACATTCCAAAAAATACATTGCTTATAAATATTTGTCATATTCATAAATTGAAACTAATATTCCTCTGTTTTATTTGGAATGTGCTATAACAACCTGCATAATAAATTTTAAAATATTACAAAATGCCCTTACAAATGTATATTGCAGTGTTGCCGCTTTTAACAAAACGTTTTATATTTTTTGCAGACACAAGCTGGGAAACAATCAACAGCTGATGTCAACAGCATATTTTCCGAGATAAAATTCAACTGTCAGAACAGAGTTTTAGGTTACTATGCAGATCCACATTTCGACTGTGAAGTTTTCCATTTTTGCCACAAAGATGGCACACGGGTTACCATCCCTTGTTTCCAGGGCAGTCAAAAGCACAGGATTTGTCATTTAAAGGAGACTACTCCAACAGCATGTTCGGGTCTACATTTCGTTCTGCCAGAGGACTTAATAGGAAAAAAAGATTCCACGACAGCGGCTGCTATAAACGATGCTACAGATTACAAAATTTCAAACGTTATTCCTCAGCCAAACCAAATGCTCGATGCGAAGGAATCTAATACCACACCCTTAAGTTCCGACAACGATGACGCTGATAATGAAAGAACAGAGGAGCTGGATAGTATCTTCGAAGTTTTCAGCGGCATTTTGAAAGAAATAGAAGCAGATCAACCATTAGTGAATGAAACACGTAGCAGAAGTCAATTTAGGTTCAAACCATCCACGTTTAGTCGTGGTTCTCATCAACATTCGTCTGCAGAAATGAGAGGTTCAGAACTAGATGGATTATATGGCAAAGAAAAAAACGCGCATGAAAATGGAAAGTTTCTAGTAGAGGTACATAAAAATGAAGATGAGAAAAATGCAGGCACAAATTACAGTTTATTTCAAAGGAAAGCAAAAAAATTATTTTTAATCTCTAAATCAGATAAAAAGATTGCGGCTAAAAATCCACGAAGAAAAAAAAGAAATGTACAAAATGCAAACATTCATCGACCATATGCTATTATATATGCCAAAGTTCCTGACATTACTGAAGAAAGCAGAATATATAATTCCGCGAGCTCACGTCAGGTAACGATTACTTTATTTTGTTTACCTTCATGAGGTAGCATTTGATTGTTATTTTAATAATTTTACTGCCAAATACTTAACAGTTTTCTTTCATTGGGTTCATTCAATTCTGCTTCATAATTTTGTGTTAATCGTTAAAATCGTTGTATTAATCGCATAAAGTTAAAATCGTTTATAATCTTTTTTTTTTTTCAATTTTCCCACAGGATAGATTGGAGGTGCCTTTTGCTCCAGCAATAGTCCCAGCTGATGTTCCAGTAGTTCCAGTCACTATAGAAACACGCCGTAAAAAGAAATCAAAATCAAAGAAATCTAAACGCCCACAGAAAACACTAGAAGCACATTCTTCCTCAGATAATGAATTTCAGGATTATCAGCAGACATCTGAACAACGAAATGTTTTATTTTATGTTCCTGACCAAGGAGGGAATGTCAGACAGTTAAGCTTACAGCAACCTGGAATAGCAGATCCTAGATACCCCACTGGAGGTTCTGTAATACAAACACACAGGCAACCGGCGCAAAGGCCAGCTGAAAGGCCCCAGCAACCACAAGTTCAAAACGGCGTACAAAACAATAACCAAGCCACTTACCCTCACAGTTTAAGCAATGTGCAACTACCGAACTTTCCGTTTCAGCCACCATCTTTTCTAAATAACCCAGGTCAATCCTCATATTATTTTGATCCTCAAGCACTTCTGCAAAATGATGGGGTTTCACTTTATGGAACACAGTTTAGGCAACCTAATCATTTACGAGCTCAACCTGAACAAGTTGAACGCGTCATCCGCCCTCAGTCACAGTCAAGTCAAACAAACAGTGATTCCCACAGTCATTTAAATACGGCTTCTAACAGCCGATTACATGGGGGACAGGAGAGTGTTGTTAACCAAGCAAGAGGCAGACCACAAAATCTTCAAAATGGGGCTGTCAATAACCAAGAAAGTGAAAATCCACGAAATCCACAAGTACATGAAAATCTCCCTGATTTCCAAAATGCGTTCTACAATAACTTCCCAGGATTTCAAGTGTATAACGCTCCTTTCGCCCATCCAAATATACTTCACTTAGGGCCAACATCGCAGGCTGAAGCCCAACATTCCCTTTATTCTAATCAACAACAACCAGCTGCAGGGCTTTACCAGGCTAGTCCTGATCAAACATTAAATCAAGGAAGACTTCAACAGCAAACTCCTGAACAGTTTCTAGCCCAACAAAGACCAGCGCAGCAGAATCCCCGAATCCAAAGCAATAATCAACCTGAAATTGGTGGGCATGGCGTTCCTTACCTCCAACAACAGAATCAAGTGGCAAATTTAGGTTCAGTAACTCCACATCAAGACAGGTAATTTATTAAATTATTATATATTTTTTCAAAATTTAAATCGAATAAATATAAACTGAACTAAAGATGGGAATCGAAATCTTAAAGATTTATGCAGCTTCATGGAAAAAAAAAATGCCTATTATATTAAACAAACAAACAAACGATAAATATCGAAGTTTATAAATACTAATGCATGCAACAAAAATATATTTATTCCGGATTCTTGATAGTTGTACTGTGATGCATTCTTATTTGCAATTTAAAAATTTTACGTACGTGAATTCTTGACACTTAAAGCTAAATAAATCGAAAGGCTGCTAAGAAAGGGATGTGCGAATCTTCGAGCTAGAAATCGCTCCGTAAACTTTCCTATAGTGATACGCAGGGGGGGGGGCCAAGAGCGATGCGCAGTGCAGGGAGAAAGTTATGCCACATACGCATGACGTCATGTGGGTGACAGCGTTAGTTCTTGGCTTTTGTTTACTTACGTTGCATCAACAGTTTGATTTGATTTGTGTTGTTAATTTGCTATTATACCTAGGCGGAAGTGGCAAATTGTGCTATAGCGTTGTGTCAGAATTATACACGTTAATACCTTTTTTGGCGGAAAACACTCTTTACAACCGGATAAAATAACTATTTTTAATGAATTTATGTAGTTTTCATACATAACTGTGATGTAATTTTACATTTATTTTCATTTTACTGCTATTTTACATTTAAATTGAAAAAATTTCTCATTTTTAAATCATTTTTATCATAATCTTCATTTTGTGTATGAGCTTACATCGTAGTGAGATATTTAAACTCATGTCATGTTTACCAATACTGAGTACCTGAATGATTAGTTAATAAATTCGCGTATCCAACTTTCATTCACATGTTTTGGTTACTTTCTTTACATCCCATCCGGAATTCTATGTATTGAAGCAGCGTCTGGGTTAAGCATTGCGAACTAAGTAAACTGATACATGCCTCACCGGTGAGGAAAGAACAATTTCTCGACCACACTATGATGCAAACATCGAATAAGTGAGTGACATATTTCCTTCAGTGTTATTTAACTGATGCATACAGGTATGTGTGATGTAATTTAATTGATATAACTAAGTGAACTTACACATGCTTTACCCTGAAGGAAAACAAATCTGTGCTGGGAATACAAATAGCGAAAGATTAAGTAAGATATTCTCTTCAGTGTTATTTAACTGCTGCATATGTTTTAATTTTGATTCCATATAATTTGTTTTTAATTATAAGAGAAAGAAAAATAATTAAATATCTGAACACTATATTCGAGTATAACAAAAGTATTTTAAGAAACAACCTGATAAAAATACATTAGTAATTAAAAATATTTAATTTGTGTACAGTCTGAATTTAATTAAGATGTGGTAGGTGTATTTAATTATGGCAAAGCACACTAGGGCTATTGCGTAATAGGTGTGATGCCTTTGTGGAGGACTTTCTCAGGGAAACTGGCTCGTATAACGTTACACATGAGGAAAACCACGAAAACGCCCATGCAGCCAGCCCGTTCGCGGGATTCGGACCGAACTACCAGTGTTCAGCGACTTTACCGCTCGGCCGCTGGTGGGCCGAAACTAAGATGTAGGGCAAGTTTATTATTATTATTATTGTGCGTATATGTGTAAGAAAATGTATTTTAATTATTCCATTTTTAATGTATGGAGGGAAGAATAGGGATGCCAATATCGAAGATTATTTACTATAGCAAATAATCACGTCAGGATAAATGATAAATATTATATAGAAATCTTGGGAGTGTAAGGGATTATAAGAGTGCTTTTAGATTATACTGAAAATATATGCACTTCTGCTAAAATCTGAAGTGAATCAGTATAAGTGACTTTTCACTTTAAAAAGAATGTGATAAGTATACTATTTAAAAGTATAATGACGTGATATTAAGAAATTTGTAGAATTTTATGGTATATTTAAATATGAATTTGTTGATTTCAAATCTTTTTATATATATTTTTGCTTGAGATATGTAATTTAAACTGAAAATCACGATCATATATTTTCTGATGGAATGTCAAAGTTCATTTGTATTAAAAAAAAGTGCATGAGCAATGAAAATAAACAGAATAATACTTTTTGATTATGTTTTACCATGGGTCTTAGCACTTATGCCATCATGTGTTCTGTTCAACAAGATTTATTTAGTGCAAACAATACTACGAAAAAATATTAAAAATACCTTGTTTTGCAATATTTATTTCCCTTAATTAACTTAAATATCGTTTTTCATTTTCTAATGCTTTCCTTTACGAAAGAATTTAATGTTTACAATTATTTTCAGCATTCGTACGAATTCTGTGCATAAAATAAACATTTTCTTTAACAAAATACTTAATCGGAAAGTATATACCCGGTATTTCTGGTGTATCTACCACATATAAAATGATCATTTTGCTTTAGTTTACATTTTTTCCATTACCAAAATCATGTAGCAGACGCGTCGGCCGATGCGTCTTGTCTCCCGGGTGACGTCACTACCAGCAACCAATGGCACGCTTTTTCCGTTCCTGGCCTAACCTTAGTATATTAAAGAACCTTGAGTGATACGACCTGTCATTTTATAACCAGTTTTGGGCTCTGGAATAGTCTTTCGCTAGCTGATAATTTTGTCTTGGAAGAATTGCGACTGCTTGTCATAGTTCAACTACCAACTCACGGAATTTATATTAGTTATTAAAAATCCAAGACTTCCATTAAAAAGCAATTGAAACTGTCGGATAAAAAACTTACAGGAATGATGATTCTTCCGCTTATCTGTAATTATCTCATTGCATAACTATTCGTGATAGGAAACAAACGGTTTAAAACATTGGGTCGTTTTCCTACAGTAACGCTTGAACCTTTTTACATAAAAGCATCCATTTTTAACGTGTGTAATTTACAAATAACAGTAAAACTTTAAAAAATTAGCTTTTGCACAGTTGTAAGTAATCACTTTCACGCTAAAATTATCTTAATCAGCTGCCTAACTCACAATAATATGCGTCTGAATCACAATCTAATTTTTATTTAGAGATACAGTCTTTTCGTATATACTATTAAGCCTGAAATTATAGTATGGCGCCTGAGAAGTATGATGTAATATACCGTATTTCTCGGTATAAGATGTACTTTTTCTTTAAAACTTTCTTTAAAAAGTTCATGTCTAAAAACTGGAACGTAAACGCTAACAGCAAACGAAATCAAGGGTGAAAGATTGTTAACACTTAAAATGCAAATAGGCAACCAAAATCAGCATTAAACACAATTATGCACTCATATCACAACGCCTTAAAAAGGAGCACGCCGGACCTATGCGTAAATTCGCAAGCAGTGATAACTCTGTGTGATTCAAGGTAGCCAAAACGGAAAGCATGAGCCTGAGGCACCATTTGTATGATGAAATGCATTAAAGGGCTGTCTGGATATTGCAGGCTGATGCAAGACAATCCGCTGTTGCGAAAGAGCAGAATGTACATCGTAGTGTCATTGATAGACCTTTGGAATCTTTACAAAGTAATCAAAACACCTGTAAAAGACGCGTGTCTGGTCACCGAAGGATTACCATAACGGCAGACGATCCCTTCCTGTTGCTATGTGCCAAACACCGTAGATCACTAACAGCGTGACAGCCGACGGCCCATATCCTGCCTAACTGTGTCACATCGAGGGCAAGAAGGTGGGATGTATGCCCGATGACCTGTGGTTTGTGTTCTTTTGTCCCCATCGCATGTCAGAGAGAGAGTTTGAATTGGGCCTGTGAACATCGCAGTTAGACGCCAGAGTAGTGGGAACGCGTATTCTTTACGCATTTCATTTAATATCCAGATTTACGCATTTAATTTAATATCCAGATTTACGCATTTCATTTAATATCCAGAGTTTCATTTAATATCCAGATCGATTCCCGAAGGGCAATGACATGGTGAGAGAAAGAAACACACTATCGGGTGCCAAACATCTTCGAAAGACACCATTACAGAGAAAGAGGCTTACTTATATGGGTTGCAATAGCAACGAACGGCCGCACCGACCTCTACGTTATTTTTAGTGGTTTCGTCACAGCCGATCGAAATCGGGACTGAATTCTACAACCTCTTGCGCGTCGCTCCTTTTATAGCTGCAGTGAGTACCGACGCGGAATTTATGGAGGATAATAGCCGCCCGCGTAGAGCTCTGAGCTCTAGTGTGCGGAGTTATCTGGATATTGAAACCATTCCGCATCTAATGTAACCTGTTAGATCCCCAGACCTGAATCCCATGTTGGAACGACGAATAGAAGATAGCAGTGTACCGCCAGGCACCTTCCAGGCCTACAGGTTTCTACAGGAACGGGCGCTACTGCCACAACAAGCCATCAACGACATAATTGCCAGCTTTTCTCGCCGGTGTCAAGTATGCATTTCAGCTACAGAGTATCATACCTGTTATTAACGCGATGTTTCCATTGCATCCATTACCATCCATACCTGTTATTAACGTGATATTTCCATCCCATTTGGTCTTTCGTGATGCGATGGTCATAATACAACCTTTCCTTTATTGCTCACTATGTGGTCTAGTAATGCCGCGCCAACCTCTTCAATCAATTTCACGCATATCAATGAAATAGTTTTTGTTTTGTTCCTTGTTTTGCCTTTGTCGTTTAATTTTTGAGCAGGAGTGTATACTCAACCAAAAATTTAAATGGATATTTCACAGCTATTCTTTTTTAAATTTACGTGTTTCTAAATAAGCAGTCGTTTGCAATATTTTGGCTGTTACTTTCATTTTGATGCAATTTGTAATGTTCTAAATGACGGAAATAATTCCACTGATTTCTCAAAATTGCTTCCTCAGTGTTTATTAAATTTGTAATCTGTACTATGACGTAAAGTCATCAGATTTTAAATACTTTATTTAGTTAATGATCGGTTATTTTTAGTTGCTGAAATATATTTGTGTAACAACAAAATACTGCTCTAGTTGGTTAGCATTTGGAACATAATTTGCAGTTTTTTACTGTTAAAATTTGGTGCCTCTATTCAATTCTGTGCTTGTAATTGTAAAACATATCATCCTTCTGACTTTTTCCTTTGATATTTCGATTTTATGGTTAATCTGTATACCATAACGAACGTATCGATTCTCACATGAAAAGAGTGGTTTGTCTTGCGTGAACATGTAGTATGAAGCATTTTCTATAATAACATGATTTTAACATGAAACTCTTAGCTAAATTAAATGAATTTCCACAAATGTAGTTAGCAAAAACAAAATTTTGATTGCTTTGATCTCCTGTTTTTCATTTTCCTAAGTAGGTAAGTTACATAGATTTAATAAAAGGTTTTTTTCTTTAATACTTATAGTAATAAGGATTTAATAAGAGGTCCTTTTTTATTGCTGATTTAATAAAAGGTTTTTTTCTTTAATACTTATAGTAATAAGGATTTAATAAGAGGTCCTTTTTTATTGCTTATAATAATAATGCTTTAATAAAAGGTTCTTTCTTTCATACTTCTTAATTACAAATTCTTTCAAAATTCATAATTAATCAAAGAAATCATTCTGAATGAACAACATCCGTATTTCATTAAAGCTGAGGACTAAATTGGAAAATGACATGACATTTTCGCTGCTTTTCCAGAATGTCGTAAAATGCCATGTCTATGATACGTTTATATATAGGTCATTTAAAATAATTAAAATATTGAAAAAACTATTTTTATCGCAGGCCAATAAAATTCATTTTTATGGATCGCATATTCGACTCTAACAACATTTTATTCAAATATCTGACGGCCTTTCCATGCTCATACTGCACGAAAACTTCTATATAAATTTTCTTATATTATCACTAAAACATTTCTATTAATCTGTTAACATAAATTTATTTTATAACTTATTAATCAGATTCTTCTATTGAAATGTCCAATGCATTTCTTTAATTAAACTTTATTGTATGTGTCCATTACAAGTCAACTTATCAAACAATTTTAAAATCTTTGTTTACATGTTCTCAATATTTCCCTATTGAAATATTATATTTATTTTTACATTCAAACATTCCGATGACTTTCGTATTAATGAAGGTTTAGCATTATTTCTAAAACAACTTTAATGGCATTTATATAATTCCTTCACTAGCATTAACTATATTATAAAATAATCCAGAAATAATAAAAAAGTATAGCAGTGTTTTACCATAACTATCTCCATTTTCAAATGAAATTATTTTCTTCGTAATTAAGAGACAAAATAATAGTGCATTAAAATATCTAAAAAGCTACCAAATTAACAAACATTTTAGAATTCTTTTGGAATGTATTAGTTTTTTATAAATATAACAAACAAACAGTAACCGAAATATAAGCTCATCCTCCACCCAAAACTATAGAATAATTTTAACTTTTAATATATTTGTTTAATAAATTTCAAATTTTTAAATGATTATTCCTCAGTTTTATTTCAATATGTGTTAAAGAATTTTTTTATTAAATTGTTCTATATATGAAATCTTTGTATGCCAAAAATTTATGTTATGTAGCAGCAAGGTTAAATCATGTAAGTTTAAGCCTTAAAATTATCTGCTTTATTTAAAATGCCGACAAATTCTTTCCTTCTTTTTACACTAACAGAATTTTTAAAAAATTCTTTTTTCTTTAAGAAACAAACAACCAGAGGAAAATTCTCGACCGTATGTTACACCTCCGCTTCCTCCATCAAGACCATCAAGAATCAGAGCAAGGCCATCTGCTACAAGGGAACAATCTCCATCTCCGCAACCAGACAGACAAAATGGTCGAAACAGAGGAAGGTATGCAGGAAAGCCTCAGACGTTAAGAAGACCAGCTGAACATACGATAACAAATGATCACATTCAATCGCTGCCACCCCGCAGCAGGGAACCCTATCGTATTCAAATGCCTTCGGAAAATTTTCCCCCAGAAAATAATCCTTTCATTCCTATAACAAGAGAAGTACCAAGTGAAAATGTCTCACCAAATACTATTGAAGATACTAGATACAGAAATCGTCCCTACTCTTCTAATACTGAGGGTTATGAAAGAGAAATTATCTATAGTCAGAGAGAGCCAGAACGTCCAAGAATTCGCAACGAAGGTTCGAGACAAACCGAAAGAGAAAGAAATCCTTCTCAACATACTCAACAATATTCACCTCCTCATTATTCCAGAACTACACCCTTGCCTTCAGTAACACATCCTGAAAGGTATATTGTTCGAGGAGAAGGTCAGCGACAAAGAATTAAACCTGTAAGTGAAAATATCGTTCGTAATGTTGTGGAGGAACGACCGTATTATGATTACAGGACATCCCTTCCTCCTTCTGAAGACAGAGTGGTGACAAGAAGACGACCATCAAGACCAAGGCCGTCAACGACAGAAGAAGTTGCCACCAACAGGTTTTATCCAACATCAGCACCACCGCTACGAAATCGACCTTCTGACCCAGAATCTTATAGTAACCAGTACATTCGTCCGCAACATGATACAGAACAAAGACAGAGGCCAAGGCATCGCCAACAAGTTCAAATTGAGAGGCCACCACCTAACTATGATACTGCAGCACCTTATCAACAAGATCGACCAAGACATAGAGAGTATAACACATATCCACATCAGAATGAAAATCTCAATATCATATCTACAGTTGAAAGTGCGGATGAACAATCTTACACCCCTCCTTCCCATATTCATCATCGTGAGAACATACCAGACACTAAATATCATCATGAACAAAACAACCCAGAAGTAAATAACCGCTATGTTCTTCCGCAAGACAAATCTTATGGTGATGGCAGTGAGGAAAGAGTATTACCTCCAGATAGTGAACATTATCACAGTCGGGAACAGGTGCAAAAAATTCGCAATGAAGATTTGCAAGAATCTCCACCAGAAACAACAACGCAAAGACCCTTACCCAAGAGAAAACCACTGCCACCAAGACCTACTTTTCCACCTTTCCCGACTTTCCCCCCTCCGCCGCGAAGGCCTGTAACTACTCCAAGACCAAGAACTGTGCCCACAGAATCTGAGAAAGAAGCGATTGATCCTTCTGATCCCATAACCGAAGAGCAAGATTCAGTTAGAAATATACAGAGAAATAATCTCCAAACTGCATCTGATGCTGTAACACAGAATGTCAAAGACAAAGACCATGTGACCGAGGTATATCCACAAACGGATGGTCCAGAAGTTACAACTCGCCGCAAAACACGTAAACGCAGACCCAGACCTAGACGACCAAGGCCCACAACACCATATTCGGAAGATCAATCATTCGCTGAATCTGTTACAGAAGAGCCAGCTGTAAAGGAAATAACTACGCGAACAACGTTTCAAAGAAGTAGTAACAGATGGAAACAGCAACCAACGGAACAACCACGTAGAAGCACTACAATATCATCAACTGAAACTACCGCAAGTGAATCTCCAGAGCGAACTGAAAAGTATGGAAGCCGATTAAACCTATTTGGCAAGCCACGCACAAGAAAGCCAGCATTTAAGCCCCGTACGTCAACGAGTACAGCATCACCAACTCTGCTTAAAGAAGAATCAAAGATAGTGCCAAGAACACCAAATTCCTTAAGATCGAGATCATCGATTACAAAGAAAATTCGAAAGACAACTACAACAACTACGACGGAGAGTCCTGAAACAACAGAAACAGTAGTAAGTCGCAGTGATCATAATACAGATTTCTTAAATTACGAAAGCACTGATGTAACTTCAGATGCCAGTTTCTTATATGAATCAGAATCTACAACACAAGTATCAGTGAACGAAGATACAAGCTCTTTCACAACTGAAGCGTATAATGAAATGGTTGAAACAACTGAATATGCAGGTACACAACAAACGGATTCTACTACTGAATCGCAAGAAGGTGCAAAAGACAAGACACAAAACTTTGAAAGTAGACGAGGAACTTCCAAAAAGTTTCAGAATAGACCACGCGTACTTAAATTTGGTAAACCTAAACTTCGAATAACAACGCTTCCAACAGACTTGAACGCTGCTGAAAGCAGAAATATTTGAGAACGGTGACTTGAATTTTATTTATAACGAATCAAGAATATACCAGCTAGAATTCTTGTCCATTAAATACTGGAAAAACTGAGGTTTGTATTATAAACAAAAATGTTTCAGATATGCTCAAGGTCTGGTACCGGCATCTGAAATTACAGTGTATTATAGAATTTTTATGCATTTGGAATTTTATATTTCAAATAATAGCATTGCGGATGTTTTAGATGAACATAAAACGCATCAGAGTACATTGTTTCAGGAAATCTTTCAAATGCTGGAAAATTAAGAAATATTTTTCAAACACGATAGGTCTACAACTTTTACGAAGTAACTGAATTTCATGATATTTTGAAAGATTACAGAATTATATATCAAACAGAATAGCGAAGAGGGTCTTAGATCCATGATAAGAAGTTAAGATAAAAGCATTGTTCTTAGTTAAAAGAATAATTTTCTTATTCTTAAAAGAAAGAGGTAAGGACTGAAAGCTATAAAATGAAGATTTTCGAATCAAATTTCATATACGACATATATTAATTACATTTTCAGGTAAATTAGGTACTGAAAAGCTGTTTTCGGGTGAAATATATGTAACTACGTTCATCTGAGGGAGATCTTTCTAAATATAGAATATTTTAGAGAGAAAATGTTGTAAAACACATTGATAAATGTAAAACTGTTTATCGCCATTCTTAAAGAATATTGATGATTCTTTTGAAGATTTGTCGTGATGTTTAAATGATAAATTACTTAATTTACTGTTGTGCAAAGTTGGTTTCGTGCAATATGAACGTTGAGAATCTACGTGCCAAGCCAAAGTGCATTGAAATAATCAGTAGATCATCATTTTCTTGTAATGACTTCTGAACGGAGAAATATTTCAAGTCATTAGTCAAAACTCTTATCATAAAAGACTTATAAAGTATGATATGATTACCAGAATGATCGTAAAATTTACTTTTACGTTCAGTTCTTGCAGCATTTTTTAGAGTTGTGACTATTTAATGAAATATGTAACAGCAAAGATGCACAAAAATTGTATTTATGATAATGTCCATACATTTTTGCAAGTATTTTTATGGCAAACATTGTTTAGTAATAAAATATATATGTGTAAAAGATTAATAGATCTTTTTTTAATTTATCATGCTAAAAAGAAAGAAAATATTACAGTTAATAATTACATAGTTTGTCTTGACATACACATGATGATCTAGCATATTGTTTTACATGATGCCCGTAGTCTTCGATTATTGAAGATATTCATATTTGGTGTAAAGGGAAATATTTTACAATTAAAATTAATAAAATATAGCGAAAAGTATACAAACAAATCCTCTTTAAGGCATTTCAATATTAGTAAAGAATAAACATTTAATATTAGCAATTTGTATAAAGTATTATAGGTAAATATAAGGAAATAGAGGTATATTAATTTTCTTCTAAAATAAGAAGTAAAATCACAGATTTTAACCAGATTTAACCAGATTTTTCCTTTTACAAATTGCATAGTCAGGATGTGGTCATTACATGGTAAAATCACTTAAATAACAATTGCGTTAAAAAAAAGGCTGAGAAAACTTGAAAAATCTTACCTATCTTAGACCACTTTTCCTAAGGGAAAAATAAAAATAAAAATCACAATTAAGAAAAACTCGAATATATAACTGTCAGAAGTAAGCTCATCAATAATTTGAGTAAGTAATGTAATTATTAATGCTTTGATTAATGTAAGTAATACATTCATGTGCTTTTAGAATAAAATTTATTTAAGAAATTCATTATTAATTTGATTGTTAATTGTAAATTAGACTTTTAAGAACCTCAAGTTATATTTATTTACAGATAGAGAATTTGATGCATGTATTATTCTATATTCTCGAAACTGCAGTTCCTGGGTATCAGCTTCTTACGGCAATCAAAACCCAAGCATCCTAACATGAATATTTAAACCCTTAACAAATCGAGATAAAAATTCGTAAATTGCTTTTTCTTTTACATGTAAGTAAAACTTCTTTATTTTTCATGCTGCCCAATGCTAAGATTAAATGACCACAAAAGATAATCCTCCGTTAGTAGCACCCCTTTAAAAATGATTTATGGCCAGCAGCAGCCCTAGCTGCGAAAAGCAGTTTTGAAAATTTCCGATGTAGTTGACAATCGCACGACTGTTAACATGAGCAGTACGAATGGATGAATGAACAATGAATACATGCGTTAAACAACATTAAAATTTATGAGTATTGCAGTTATTTAATGAATACGTTTCGAATAAAGAAATACACACACTTCCAACATCTAAATATATGCAATGCAGCATTCAAGTATGACACTGTGCGCTGTATTCCATGTGTATAAAGACTTGCAAAATTAAATAAACGTTAGTATTAAATAATTAAATGGCAGAATATGATACAAATAAATATATTTTTATTTACAATATTTTATATGCATATAACAGTGAACAAGTCTTAGCGCCTCTTAGTAACATAAATAAAAACAATGATTACGAAACAGCTAACTGGACACTTCTCTGAGAGCTCTAATGGGAAGGTGGCCTCCCACAAAATATTAGCAATGAAGCATTCAGAATTTGTGAAAAAAGTTCAAGTAGGAGTTGCACATGCAAAGTTATTGAAATTATTTACATAAAAATAGCATTAATAGCGCGTTTTTTCATTTCAACCTATGAAAAAAAGTAACCGATGTGAAAATTGATAAAGTTATAATCGTTTAATAAAATCTCACTTTTCACAAATTCCGGTTTTAATTTATATTGATATTAGAAATGGAGATTTAAAAGTCTAGATAATCTACAGATAATATTGTACATATATCAGGCTGATGAACTGCCCATAACTTAAACGTATAAACTGTATGATTAAAGTGTTTAATTAAATCACAGCAGAGGAACTTTGCATTCTAGTAAAGTATTGAGGGCTAATTCTTGAATGAGAAAAATTAGAAACAGGAGCGAGCAATTTTGAACATCATAGATTCATTCTAGGACATTAATCACCGTAGTGTGAAGAACAAAACTGCGCCATACTAACCATAGAATAACAGAATTAATAACAGCGCGTTATTATTTTGTGTATTATAAACGCAATTATATAAGGTCACATGTAGCTTAAATATAAAGAAATTGAAAAGATAGAGAAAATATTTAGAAATAAGTTTAACATTGATGAGATTTATACATAAAAGGTTAGCAGTATTTCAATTCCATTTACTAAGTATTATGGGAAATATGTCGCTTTTCGCTTAATTACTCAATTGCTTAGTAGTATTCATCAAAGAATAAACTGAGATTTGATTGTAGGAAATGTACGAGTGCGGAAAGGAGGCACGCAAAGTACACAGAGACTCGAAATCCTCTCGAAAAGTTGAGAGTAGAGCGAGGGAAAAAAAAAAAAAAAAAAAAAAAAAAAAAAGACCGCGCTTGGGATATTTTTTCTCAGAATTCTAAATTGGGAGGAAGTTTAGCAGACAGGAAGGCCTAGCAATACCTAATATGTCTATATGTATGCTGAAGTGCCGGCCTTGTTTTAACCTATACTTGAGACAACTGAATTTATGAAGCAGTTGTAACTCTTTTTACTGTTTACAGGTATTCAGGTAATATGCATGATCAACAAATAGTTACGCATTTAAATTTTAAAACATGTTTTAATATTTTGTCTGAAAGTTTAGAACACAAAATCAATAGATGCTATTAAATATAAGACAAAAGAATTAAGCGGATAAAATGGACGAAAACTTAATTTTACTAAAGTTGTCGGAAAAGTTGATATAAGTGACCAACAAACAGGATGCGGTTGTTTGGATGAGAAATCTCTTTCCATAGAAACATTACGTAACTGTATTCCGGGAAAATCTTTCGCCTATTCTTTCTCGCTCAGCCACACTGAACTCTAGCGCAGACTCGAAAGGGCATCCGTTTTATTCAAAATTTGCTCCATGTGATTCATTGTTGTCCATATTTTAAAATGTTTTTAAAGTGAGACATGAAATCTGATTGAAAATACTTATATTATAGCTTGCTGTTTCTTTATCAGGGTAATATCGTCTCCAGCTTCTGTTGCTGATTCTTAAGTTTCTACAGTTATTTCTTACTGAGCTAATTTTATGGTTCTTCAGCAACTCCCCTATGTGTTCATTGATAAGTTCCAAGCCACCCCCAAAAAACTAAATGTCATAGCAATCTCCTGTCATACCTGTCAAAGTCTTTGCCTTCAAATGAATCTCGCTATAATTTTTTTCATCATGGTCACTTGGCGCCAGGTTTTCTAACTTGGTCCCAACTAAGCCAGTAGTCTCAAACTCAAATAGCATACATGCCGAATTCACGATCTGAAAGCAGCTGATAGGCCAATTTTTTTAATGAAACATTTTTTTAAATTTAAATTTGATTTATTAAAATATACATAAAATGTAATAAGAAAAAAATACAGATTTTATTTCTTTTCTGTCTGAAATCTATAAGCAATTTTCGTTGGTTATACTTGTAATGCAAACATATTGATAGCTTTGTATTAGATTTTCAGACTGGCATTTATTTTAAATAATTTTAATGCGTTGAATTAACCGCTAAATAGCATTAACTTAAACAAATTATAGAAATTTTCCAAGTGAAAATAAATAATTACAACCTATTAAGTTTCTTTTATTTATTAAATTTTTCTTTGACGCATACAGGAAAAATATATATATTTGTATGTAAATTTTTAACTTTTAGCTGCAATATCTCATGGCGTTTCGATTTCGATAAAGTTTGGAACCTCGGAGAAAAATTACTATAAACTATCTGTATCATGAATCATAGATGCTCATCGATCAGCCTGACTCTTTTCTGTAATTGATTTATTTTCAACTGCAGAAAAAGACTTTTCAAATAAAAATGTATTCCCAGGAAAGCTTGATCAAATCTGTACCTTCAAATCTTTCATTAAGATTTATATCACAGTGTAATTTAATTAATACATTTGTAGATTTTCTGGGGCGTTACATATGTTTGTTTTTAATGGCAGTGAAAATAATGTAAAACTGGGCTGAAAATAATTAAAAATTTTTAACCTTTCTTCAAATTCATTCCATAATAAATAATGTAATGACAATACTAATAAATTAACGGAAAATGTATTCGAGAGCTGGCTAAAATAGCTTCGGGGACCGCCAGTTTGAGACCACTGAATTAAGCAATGGAAATATTAAAACGATGTAACAGCTCGTAAGTGTTAACCTGTGGCACAGGGTTACTTCAAAAACTTTTAAAAATCATTTGTTGCTGATTTGATTGCTCGCAACTCGAGACATAATTCTTCATCGGAGCCTTTTTTATTCAGATATTTTGTGCATTAACCGATTTGTTTGTGAGAGATATTCGTGATCCGAGGTTTCACTGTATCATCCCTACTTTTTTCTTCACTATTTTGGTTTACTTATTTAATGTCGTTATTTAATTATTATAATGCGTATGAACATAGAAGTGTGAAAGAATTCGAATTCATGAAATATCAAATTTAATTTTTTAGAGGAGGTTTCAAATTATCCGATCTTCATATATCTGAGTACCCAATTTCTAATTTCTATTTTTTCTTCAGACGACATAAAGTTAAGATGGTTGTTAATGTATATAAGCAATTTCAATTTGTTTCTTTAATTTAAATAACATAAAAATATAAATACAGCGGAGTTAATATTTTTAAGAAGCTATTAATTTGTATGATAGTTTTATAAAAATTAGCCTAAAATATTCAACAAATATGCAGTTATAACTATTGGTGGAAACACAGTGACCCACTGTATTTAGTCGAAACTCGTCTTGAAAAAGAGAAATTACATTTGTCCTATTGAAGGAAAGATTTCTTAATGGAACTCCACAGAATAACAATCAACGAAGTCACCTTTTCATACAGACACCTTAACGTATCCCTTTTTAATACGATTATTAGGAAATCTGAAGATTACAGACAACAATTTAAAGAATTACGTATAATAACAATACTTCATTTATTATACTTTTATGTTATCACAAAGACTATAGAAAAGATTGCTACAAAGATTATGAGTGTTTCACAATCAGTTAAGAAACGAACGCAAACGTTCGTTTAACTTCTTCAAAGTATTGAAAATGCAACAAAATTGCATCCAATAACTATAATAATAATAATCTCTCGTTTGTGCCAAACCTTGTAAGTAGAGGTTTCCAAGGTGATCAATCAGAAGGTTGGAATTATAAAAAATTTCGATTTGACTTAAAATTGAGTTTTAGTGCCCAAGAACAACATAATTTTAATCATAAAAATAACACATTAATTTTCACATTAATATTTAATAAAAAATTAAATTCTAATAACTCACATTTGAGATTCAACAATGAGTCATTAAAAACGAATGCATAATGAAGTTAATGCGTATGTACAATAGAAATATTTAAAAATATATAGCCTATGATAAATAGTTAATTAATCCGCTTTCGTTTTGGCCATGTTATAGTTCATATTTCTACAAAGGAACATAATCAGCAGATTAATCACAGTAGTCACTTCCAGAATGAAAAATATGGCCGACCAGTTGTAGTACTTCGCTACGTAGCTAAATGGAAGCCCAGATATTATAGCACCAACTGAAATAAGAAAAATCTCTGGAATATATTTACATAAATAAAATCCTAATTATTGATAAGAATTACTTAACAATGCACACACAACATTAAAGAAATCAGACGTTAAATATTATGGCTTATAATGTAATAATTATTGTATTTCGTAGAAGTATTAAAATTATTAATCATGTTTCCAAATAAGCAATGTGAAAACTGAAATAAGTTATGGAGTTTCCGCAAAACCATTAAAGATTTAAATTACGTAAAGTAACTCTTCATTAATTTCATTTGCAACAGTATAGTATCCATTGAAGTCCCATAAACTGTTACTGATAAACGAATATCGTTATGGAAAATGTTGAAAATATCTTAAAATGTTTGCAAATCTCAAAGTAAAATACTATCATTATTTTTAATGAAATAATATTATTTAAGATTTCTAAAATTAGTCACATTCTAAATATTATTGAACTGAAGGAAATTCAGTTAACTTAGAACTTATTTATAGCTCATTTAGATAGCAAAGAAAAATGTTTGAAAGATTAACCAAGACTTATGATTGATTGATAGATCAAGAAAAATGACATTTAGACATCTTATTTATTACAATCGTTCGTATATAACTTCACGTTCGTTACTTGAAAGGAAATCTCTAATAATGAGATTCATCTATTTTTCGACTCCAAAAATTTTCGTTTTTCTATAAAATTCTTTCGGCCCACCAGCGGCCGAGCGGTAAAGTCGCTGAACACTGGTAGTTCGGTCCGAGGTTCGAATCCCGCGAACGGGCTGGCTACATGGGCGTTTTCGTGGTTTTCCCCATGTGTAACGTGTATACGAGCCAGTTTCCCTTAGAAAGTCCTCCACGAAGGCATCCCCTCCTCTTAGGCAGATAGCCCTCGAGGCTTTGCCATAATCACACACACACACTATAAAATTCTTTCCTACACTCTTGTTATACGCTTACGTAAGCAACATAAATCCTTTAATCGTCTTCCCTTTTTAAGCCAGTTCACTTTCACAGGCTGCCAAATATGTAATAACTTCATTTGCAACAGTATAGTATCCATTCAAGTCCCTTGTATTTTTTATTTGCTCTCTCCTCTTTGTTTCCGTTCCTATTTTGATTGCATTTTGTTTTTATTTTATATTTTAATTTTCACTATCTTTTTTGGGTAATTTAATCTGAAGTGTAGTGCATAATTTCAAACGCTATTTCAATGAATTGTACGTATGTTAGGGTGTTTCAGATGAGGATTTGCATTTCTGACCTAGATTAGAATTACGGATAATAAAATCAATCAAAAATGAAATAAAGACTGAACCATGATTGAAAAGTACACTTCCAGCTTTTGAGCATTTGAATGCAAGTACTCACAGAAAAAACACGCTCTGATATGGTGCCCAACTGAGATGTTTACGAAACCTTCACTTGATTCACATAGATTTTCAGTGTCATTGTAAATATTTATTTTAAATACCGAATAATGTAAAGCATTTACAACTATTCCTTGTATATGCATGGTGGAATAAAAATAATGTTTTATAACAGTGAAATGAATATAAGTAGTGCAATAATATCCGTATAATATAATGCATATCTTCACTTGATTCATATAAACTTTCGGTTTCATTTTAAATATTTATTTAAATACCGAATACTATGAAGTATATAGAACTATTCATTGAACTTACATGGTGAAATGAAACTGATTTTATAATAGTGAAATAAATATAATAATAAAGAGAGAAATAATAATTATTATGACTATTAACGAATAAATATAAACAATAATTACTATAAAGATAGCTAAATGATATTTTAGGAATTCATGTAATGATTTTAATAGTGATTTCTTAAAAAAAAAAAAAAAAAAAAAAAAAAAAAAAAAAAAAAAATTTGAGCACTTTTTGCATACCATGAGAAAGAAGCTTCTTTTATTATTACAACCGCGATATGAAGAGTTTTGATACAATTTATATTTACTAAGAGGGGAGGAATACTTAATATGCAAATCGTTAAGTATAGAAATTAATTATATTCAAAACCTAATGTAAATCATTATTTTAAGGTTTGGGTAGAAGACGATTTTATATTTTTCTTTAAAAACTTCCGCAGGAAAAATAAAGGTATAAAATAAATACACGTAATTCAGAATGAATGACACAAAAAATACACATATGGAATACAAAAAATATACTCTGACTGTTATAAAAAACTTATTTCATAAATACAATTGTAACACGAAAGATTACTTCTCCCAAATTCATTTGGCAACATGGAAAAGCTTTCCATTTCGGAAATACCAACTAGAGGGCACTGATATTCAAAACTGCAGCATCAGCAAAACAGAAAGCTTATTGTGTTTGGAAGACATAACAAGCTTCAACTGTTGTTCGGAGACACTTCTGACTCTAGTTTTATAGAAAAGCCTTTCACTGTCCCAAATCACAAGGTTGGCAAATCAATTGAGGAAAAGGATTGTATGCATGAAAAATGCAATGGATGGCTTTTCCCACTGCAACAAAGAAATGGATGAAACTTTCGTGCGATTTACTAAAAAGTACCAGCAAGTCAATGTGTCATACCAGTTGGCAACTTAAATTGATGCAACCAACAGTGCGAAGTAATTCAAGGCCTTCGAGGCAAAGTAATTCAAGACTTCATATGTTCGTGACGCTAAAAATTACCACCGAACAAAAACAGAAAGAATTCTGCTTACATTTGCAGGCATGGTTGGAGATGGATGATTCCGTAAGCAAATTCATACTTAACTGATGAAGCAATATTTCATTTATGCGACACAGTGAACGGGCATAATTTAAGTTTTTGGGGGTTGAGCGTGTTTCACCGAAGTCAAACGTTTTCTGTACCATAGCCACTTTCAGTTTACAGACCTTCTAACCAACCATAATGTGTCTGGGCCTTTCCTCTTCGCAGAGCTAATCTTCCCAAAGTTTACATACGTCGATATGCCGTCCGAATGTCTGTTACCCACATGAAGAAAAAAAACTATCCATTTTCATTTTGCAGAAAGACAATGGCCTGCCGTGTAATCATAAACAGCAAAACGATACCTCAAGCACCATTTATGATTTTCTTAGAAGGAATGTGAAAGACAAGTTCGTAGCACCTTCCCCTTTCAACGGACTTACAGCAGTCAGAGCAGCGTAGGTGACATGGTTGATTCACGTGACCAAGCTATTATAGGCAGTGATATGGGAAGAATTAAACTAAGCTGTATACATCTTCCGTGTCACAAAGGAAGCCGTAATCGAATATATGTGCATGTCCTGAGAAATTTGTAGAGTTACTTTTCATATATTCGCATTTGTGGAAAAAATGTATTACTGAAATCACCATGCTTTTTTTTTATATCATTCATATTGAAGTAACCTTATGTCGTGACTTCTTTTCCTGTACCCTGATCCCAGTTCTCTACAATTAGTGTATCTTAACATGTGCAAAACAAATATCAATACTTACTGTTAGCAGCTAATGCGACTACAGCATGAGAAGTGCCACTGAGATGATCCGGAGCACATTCTGAAGCAACAACGCCGTAAATGGCGATGGGTCCGTAAAATCCAGCTCCTAGTACGAAACCTATGGTTGATATCCAAAGCTAAAAATGAAAAAATTAGAATACATAACATTTACTTCACATAAATCTGTAATAAACAATAAATTTAACACAGAAAACAACAATAAAGCTAAAATCTCTGCGCAACATTCAAATAAGTTTTATCTAAAGAAAAATTCATTTTTTCGAGGAATTACTGAGTTTTTTTCTCCACATTCTGAAGAAGGAGGTGGGGATGAAGAACCTGCAAAGATTGCGAATCAGCAAACTCAGCAAAAGATTACGAATCCAACGAAGCTAAGAGAAAAGATAAAGTAAAAATAACGTAAGTGTGATATCTCAGAGGGAAGATTCAAGTTCAGCTGCAGATCACATACTACATAACGATCACTGCAATTTCCTGCGCGTGATCTTGTGATATAAGTAGTTAACACATCCAGATGACAGTAAAAATATCCGTGGTTTGAATTCCGGCAAGGGCACAATCAGTTTTCTCAAGCTTCCTGCTACGGTAAACCTATTAGTCCATACAGTGGAATCCGAAATAAAAATCACAGGATCATAACACTTCGGGATTTGTTTTTGTCGACTAGGCCTAACTGAGAAAGGACGTAAGAAATAAATACATTCTTCCCTGTAAGTGTAAGCAATTAGTATATCCTTCGAGCAATTTTAAAAATCTATGGTTCGAATTCCGGTGAGGGCACAAATGGTGTTAACGTGTTTCTGGCTTTGAGCAAAAAATAGACTCTAAGATGACGTTAATTGAAATATGAAAGAGTCATCTAGTTTTATTATGACATATCTTTGAAGATTCATTTACTTTATAAGACAGCATACGTTTATATTTAATTATACGTATATACGTAGTTATACGTTTAAATTCAATCATTCTGCTCTCAGGAAAAATGCATATACTGTTAATTTAGTTGCAAGAACAAAAATAATTACTAGCGTTTAGAAGAATATCACGGGAAATAGATGCTAATATAGCATATCCAAAAAAAAAAAAAAAAAAAAAAAAAAAAAAAAAAAATTTTTTTTTTTTTTTTTTAAGCATCATTTTCGTAAACGTCTTTAATCTACACAGTTGTAACAGAAATGGTATGAACACATTTATTGAAGAATGTTCCCCCCACCATTAGTGAATGACATGTAAATATAAAAAGTTTACTCCAATTACCTTAGATGATGATTCGGAGACATAAAACTGGAGAAGATGCAAACAACAAAGAACACTTATCATAAAATAAGCAGCCATGGGCATTCTAGGATTTCCTCGTTCCTTATCAGCCTGTTAAGCAAAAATATTGTGTTCGTTAAAATAATAAAATATTTGTATAGCGCAAAATATTTACATTTTATTTAAAAAGCCATAATTACGACAGATTTTTTATTAACATGTTTAAAAGATTTTAAACAAAATGTTTCTCTTTTAAACTTTGCATTCTGTCGTTTATGATAAGTCATGATTAATAATTAAATAAATAAATTGCGTCTTAATAAATTAAAAAAATAGTTTAGTTATGTTAATTATTTTGATTCTGAGTTACTAAATTAAGCATAGCATTCTCAACCCCCTATTTTTCTAAAAAAAGTGAAAGCTTTTCTCTACAAAATGTATCAATTTATAAACTGAAAAGTTTATTTCTTCCCTAACATAAAACCTCTTTTTTGAATTTCTAATAAAAAATCAATATTCTTTTATTTCACTGTTTCGCTTACTAATAGCATTAGAGGCCGAAAACCTGATGATTTGAATTATAAATAATGCGGTATAAATATAAATAAACAAGTGCTATATAACGCACATATATACAATGTGGATCTGTATCACAGAAATATTGTATATAATATTTCTGTAAGAAGTAATATATACAGTATATGTAATACCAAACCGATGCGGCGCACATGATACTCATTCATATAAATACTGACTTCGTTATAACTATGTTTGTTGGTCCTCCCAATCGTGCAAAACGTTTTCTCCAAAAGAACAAGGACCTGTGTCTGAATACCATTGACATCAATAGAGTTTTATCCAAAACATGTGTTAATCTCAGTTTGCTGTTTGGCTAATTTAAAAATGTAATTGAAGTTGTGAGGTATTTTCTCCTTTCTTACTGCGTGCCTTCATGGTGTAAGTTAAAGCACTTCCAGCTAGCAATCGGGCAGTTCGGAGTTCAGATCTCAGCTAGGGCCATCGCTGATTTCTTCACGTTTCCCGGCTTCAAAAAAAAATCTAAATAGACTAGATATACAATTATATTTCTTAGATCCAATTAACGCAATGAATGTGCAATTATCATTTTAACGCCTTATTATTATTATTTTTAACCTAGTTTTTATCATAAATGACAATTCTAAATCTGATAATATCATATACTGATGATTTTGTCATAAATTAATTTTGGAAAGTATAAATACTTCCAAAAATTTCATGATCATTTCAATATTTTAGAATTCATCTGTTATTTAAATCGAACTTTTCATAAATGAAATCTTCCACAGATTTCTATGGCATGGAATTCTTGAAATGTTACATTAAAATAAAAATTAACGCATAGGTTTGTAGAGTCATTAGGACTTTTGGAAGCAGGAGAGATGAAAAATTAGCAACCGCCTTCGCCTGGAATCGAACCACGGACCTCTGGAATACCGGCACACCATGCAGAACCACTACACTATGAAGGCACGCTAGAGAAGCGGCAGAAATACCTTATAAGGTAACGTAAAATCACTCAAAGTAATCAGTGACTCATTACAAAATTTTAAATTAGCCTGTCTTCAATCACTGATTAATTTCAGTATTCTTAATCACAAGGATTTCAGTTGCGATTTCCATCATGAGCAAAACGGATATACTGAAGTGAAAAAGAAATCAATATTATTTGGATGCTGTTTTTACTGTGAGTCCATATTTGCTTAATGAATATAAAATTTATCGAAAATAAGTTAAAAAAATGGGACACATTGAATATTTCTATCACCAAAAATATTTAATTCATTCGAAAAGTTGGGTGGCTATTGAAATATTGAATATGTCCTGCAATAAACTTCCAAGAAAGCAAAAACAAATTATGTTTTACTACAAACAGGGCTTCCAAATTTCTCATAAGCATGAGATTCTCTACCCGTCCAAGAACGACGTCGTGATGTACCAGTGAGCAGGAGAAAAATGTATTACTACAGGGCTGGGTGGCTTCTAAACAGCTCAAAATATATGCCTCAACCGATGGATTGATCAGTTTCGTTCTATATAGTAAGGCTAAGAACAGGCAGATAACATAAGACATTCAGAAAACTTAAAAGGTAAAAAATAGTTTAATTAATTTTTTTTTAATATGGGGGGAATTATCTACTTCAGTTTTTTTTTCACTCCCCCTAAAAAAATTGGCGGGAGCCTTTAGTGTTCAATAATTTTCCCTTCAGTCTCTTGTGGACTAGTTTTCATCTTAAAAGTATGCTAGTTGTTTCAAAAACAAACTAATTAAAATAATTCGGTTATTAGGCGAACACTCCAGATTTTTAAATGCTAACACAGTTTTGTGGACGTCTTACATTTAAATTGTGGTATCTAATTGCGGATATATGTATACTATATGTTACTATAATTCACTGCAGGAAGGTGCGACAAAGATATTGCATGCTATAAGATAAAAACATCAACAAGATTAGGATATAAATCTCAAGTACACTAAAAATCAAATGACAAGTATTCTAGGCAAAATGGCATATTTGGACCTCAACACAGAGTGCATTTCAAATTTTAGAGTTAAGATGAACAATCTACATAAGAATACAGAATACAGATTCTTCATAACTTAATTAATATGCCTTATTAAACGAGTCGTAAGAATAAAAAAGATTACACAAGGTTTGCTCTTCCGTGACGTTACTGACTTATAATCTGCCCAAAATCAAATATTCCCTACTCCCTTTATGTTTTTTTCGGCCACTTCTTTATGGAAACTGTCATTATAGACTTATAGTAGCCTTGGAAACAGCCTAGCCTTGTTTGTTTACCGACATTGCGAAGCAACATACGAAACTCGAAAAACAAAAATGCAATAAATTAATACAATGTACAAATTACTATGACAGTAAATATAAAACTTTAAGTATTAAAAAAGGGCCGGAGAAATATAGTTTTTAAGAATATAATACGTATACAAAACTAAAAATTTCAAAAGATTAAATTACTTACATTGGAAGGTCTGTTTCTCAGTGCCCAGTCTGTTAAGTAGCCTGCCAAAATACCACCCAGAAAACCACCACTTTCAACGCTACTGGTAAAGGCGCTTGCTGTTAAAATACAGTAAGCATATAAATATACCAATACAACAGGATAAACTAAAAAAAAAAAAAAAAAAAACCTGAAAGATTCTGAAGTAAACACAAACAAATCAATTTAAAAAACGAAAAAGAGCTGCAATAGAAAAAAGCTGAATCTTCATTAGCAATCACAGCCAAAATGAAATAGATGTATTTAACTTCTATAACCTTTTGTCCTTTCTCTCCTTTGTAATTACCATAGCATAAATTTAATAAATCATTAAAGCTAAGAAGTGTACATCTAACTGTAATAAAACTAAAGGATGATTTTAAAACAAAACACGCAATGAAAATTAAGCAAAACTAAATTTTAAAAAATATATTAAAATACTATTTAAACAATGGACAGCAGAATTCAACATCGTAAAAATGGCTCAAAGCCGAAGTGGTGAAAAAGTATTAATATAGCAATAAAGCGAAAAAAATCCGATAGTCCCCTCCACTCATTCGCAGAAATAACCATGTATTTCAAAATTAAATTAAAAAAAAGACCATAAATGAATTGTAAAAAATTAATAAACTATTTTACTTAATTAAAAACTACACTATGTCAAGATCATTCCAAGTAAATAAAATATTTTAAAACAAATTTCTTAGAAAAGTGTATATGGAATTGCTTGAATATGTAATACAAACTGCCCGTTATTATAAATTCCATCGTTATTGGGTGAAAATCATTTTTACATTTTTGTTTGTTTGCTCATGAAATTGAAATATCACTATGAAATAATGATAAAAGAAAGTTGGAAAGATCTTCAGTAACAAAATTCGACAGACAAGTGTTTAGGAGATGGCCGTATGCATCTTGAAGCGATTTGTTTAAAAATAAAACATGTATATACATTTTATATTATTCTGAGGTTGCGGCTATTGGTATGCTACCGCCCTCTTTTTTTAAGATTAGCATTGTCTTTCTTTAAGATTAGCATCGTCTCTCCCGCCTCGAGCGACTTCTTACGCGTTACGCTTCTCGGATATTAATGCATTAATGCATTTATAATCGAAGTGAATAAAATAGCTTTTCTCCACATACCATCTTTCACTTTTGAATGTTAAGCAATGATAATCATAGCAAAATTTCAATTTGTAATATATCAAATGGATCTGAAAGTAATCTTCAAAATAAAGTTTATTCCTAATTACAACAGTAGTTCAATAATTTTCTGCAATTTGTCCGAGATAAATTCTACTATATCTACACTATCTTGAAATTCTGATGTTAAGAATCAACCAGCTCATTACTTGATTTAAGGGGTATTTTTTTTTTAAATTTAGGTTACAAATTTTAGATTATTTTTGTATTAAAATAATTCTTATGCTACCTTTTGGTAGAATGAATCTCCGTAAAAATGCACAGACATATAAAATTTTCTCAAGCATAAAAATGCAAAAGTTATTCTATTCAGAAATTCAAACTGGAAGATTAAATTTTGAATTATCTTAAGTTTTTATGGATTTTGGAACATATGAAATAAAATCGTTCCAAAAACTGCTGAAATCGCCCTTCTTTTGTTTTTCAGGGCCAACATGTCTCTGTTTGTGCAGAATAATGTATAAAATAACACTCCAGTTAAATGATAATCTCGACCTAAGACAACTCGGTTGAACACACACCCAGTACTGAATTGGTTACTAAAATAAAATAAAATAAAATAATAATAATAATAATAAATAAATAAATAAATAAATAAAAAATTACAGGACACGAAAATCTGGGGAAGATTGACAATTAACCTCGGGACACAAGACCTTCTGAATGTTTGAAAAGATTTCTTTTAAAACAAGATAATTGTCTTCTATGACTTATTATACGATTATATAATTCTACACGTTTATGTAGTTTACTTCTATAATTCTTTGTTATACATTGCGACTTCTCGAACTAAAGCGCAGCGGAGTGAGGTTATTTTTATGCCAACCCATAGCAGCAACATACCACTACGTAGTAGTTGCAGTGCTGCCTAGAGAAAGTTTTCTTTTCAGATATAATGGTTTTCTTCTTCCTCTCCGTTAACTTAAATTTATGAATTTTTCTAACATTTTATATGAAATAGTTCCAGAACTAGCAGAAATAGTTCTCTTCGCCGTACGAAAAACTGATATAATGCTTGCACAGGAATTTTGAAAGGTTAATATAAAATCCAGTTTCATAATCAAAAGCCTATCTATAAGAATCAGTTGCTGATTTATACATAAATAATATCTTTTACTAAAATGCTACCTTGGAGCTTTACTGCAGTTTCTCCCCCAGAGATATATAAATACTTTTTCGTGTGCAGTTATATTTGAATTTTGATTTCATATTTTATCACAAACATTATATTTATAAGGTATTTCTCTCGCCCTTTTTTTAGCATGCCTTCGTGGTGTAGTGGTCAGCACACTCGGTGCGTATTCGAGAGGTTCGTGGTTCGAGTCCGGCGAAGGCATTGCCTTTTTTTTTCCTCTCTCCTGCTTCAAAAATGCCTAATATCTCTACAGCGGCGTCCGAACAGGGACAAAAGGTGCTGCATGATGATTCTCAAGCACCAGGATTTGGCGATTGGGTCCCCTAACCCTTGTCGCCCTTTAAAAGGGGAGTATAAGGCCCATATCACACGGCGTTTGTTTCACACGAACAACTGTTTCGGACAATTTTTCTGCCTGGTTTAATATTGAAACAAAGACGTGGGACTTTTTCCTTATTTTCCAAAAAAATTGCAAGTTGTTCGTTTTCAACCAATCGGCTATCAGCTTGTTTGTAATGGGGAACCAGTTTCCCCTGTGTTAACCCCAAAGCGATCTATGGTGATTGGCAGTTCAATGCAGAAAAATTGTTCAAAACAGTTGTTCTTCTGAAACAAACCGACGTGTGATAGCAACTTATAAGGTACTTTTTCCGCCTGCTCAGCATGCCTTTGTGGTGTAGTGGTCAGTACACTCAGCGCGTATTCGAGAGGTCCGTGGTTGGAGTCCCGGCGAGGACATGGCTCATTTTTCATCTCTCTTCAAAAATACCTAATGTCTCTACACACTTTGATTTTATTTTTCTTGTCTGGTTCATTTATTTATTTATTTACCTTAATGTAGCTTCTTGTTTATATTTCAAAACATATTAATTGAAACTTTAAGATGCCTTTTTAGATCTAGCTTAATTACCGATAAATGGCTGTAAATGCATACTTTTTAAATGTTAACAGTCACTAAACTGTCATATAAAACTCTGCAAACCGATTAGGCTTAAAACATTTTACGGATTTTCTCATCGAATTCAGCGTATGCATGCATAGTAAAGAATACCATTTTATAAGCATATTGTAACACTTCTTTCATGCTAGCGAGAGGTGCGCCGCATTAGCCAATCAGCAAGAGGCGCACATCACGTGTTATGTTTTTAGTCACAACTTCTCTCTCGTCTCTGTTGATCATCATTTCAAAATTATCATGCCATTTTTATTTTATGCCGTTTTTACATGCCTTCAAAATTATGCTTATCATCACTACCAAAGGAGGGCGCCACAAGCATCAAGATACGCACTTGGATTCTCCCATCTTTTGATTCTCTTTAATAGAATTAAATAGAATATTCATTAATAGAATATTCCTTAACAGGTAATTCTCCCATCTTTTGAGGGATATTCTAGAATATTCCTTAACAGGGAATGATAAATATGCATTGGTAAAGGCCCTTTTTAGGGCCAAATACCAATTAACGAGGCTCGTCTCTGAGTCCTTTTTGGCGGGTGCTGTTGGGAGGAGAAAGACTGTTTCCGGTACGAATCTCTTTACTGTGTGTGAAATAAAATATATTTTTATATTAAATTCTGTTCCATGCTGCTTCATTCAAATACAGGAGTCTGTTCAATCAGTGTCACTTTAATATTATAGAAAGCGAAAAGAAATGAAGCATACTAATACATACAAGCTAAACTCTGAAATTTAAAAATACATAAAGAAAAGATTAAGCTGGTTCTCACCAACATACTGCGTGTGTTTCCTGTCCTCCAGGAGGTACAGTTGGCCCCAATCGACTGTGCTCGTCTTGGCACAAAACACTACCATGTAACAAAATGAAATAAGCCACAGAGATGGACATCGCAATAAATCGGCAACAGAACCCTCAGATGCAGACTTTTCACCTAAAAATATATATAACTGAGTTTTCTTTACCTCTTATTGCAACTGCTTATTAAAACAAATTATTAAAGTGAGAAATGCTATCCAGCGGAAGTAATCAGAAGATTTGTGATTCGGATCCTAATAATGAAGGAAGTTGGATAATATACAGCATATGTGCGTGAGGACCTCTTAAAATCCATCGATCGAAAGATTTTCTAAAAGAATGGTGTCAGGGGAAAGAGAGGTTGAAGATGCTCCACATCCACTCCCTGGGGAATGTCGATGCAGCTTGCAAAATACATCTTGCAGGCATTAGTATTCAAGTTTTATAACTATTAATAGCATCATTTATACAACCGACGATTAATCATGTGCTTGTCCATTCAAGGATAAGCAACAGAAAAAACAGCAATACAAAAAATATTTAACAGAAAGGCTTTTAGAATAACTAAAATTCGTTGTTGAAGGGAAAACAGACGATTATTCTACACCTAAGTAAGAAACAGCTTTTATTAATTATCGAAAGGTACAAATATTCAAAAATATTACCAATAACATACAAATTATACAAATTAGATACATTATAATTCATATCAATTACCTATATTGCTAAAAAATAAACATTAAAACATTATAGAATCATTGAGATGTACATATATTACTTTTATATCGTTCAATTAGTTAAATAATATATTGTTATAATTTCAAAAATAATTTTAAAATCTTAAGAACCATCGAATGGCTATACCCCTGATAATTCGCATTTTACCCTGTGTGACTGAAAAATTAAAAATGACAGACCTAAAAACTCAAACTGGAAGAGAAACAAGGCAACGTAACAGTTAAAATAGTCAAAAAATTAACCTTTGCTTAGGGAAGATTTTAAATAAAATTATATTAGTTTCAAGGCTGTATGGCTTACATAGGTCTCGAATATTTTTTTGCTCCCGAAGAAGAAGGATCTGTATGAGATCGCCAACGAAATCGATAGAGTTTTGCTAAAAATCTACGTCAATGAAAGTTTGCTTTTTTGCCTAATTTTTAAATCATATGCGTCTTGAAATGGCAAGTCTACACAAACCACGTAGATGGTAAATGCTCAGGAAATGCAAAGTCACGCCAAGATGATCCCCTATCACACTAAAGAAAGAAGGCTAAATTATGGACATTTTAAAATTGAAGAAAAATTTGTTTGACATTGTCGGATAACACACTAAAAAATTCCCTATCTCAATACCTATTGAATTTCATATTTGTTCAGATTTGCATAATAAAAGATCTCCACAGCAAAATTAAATTTGGCCAAAATTCAAAATTATCTTTTTAATATTACCTTAAAAAGGTATTTCCAATTTAAATATTTTTGATAAACTGGCATTTAAATTTTTCTTATTTTAAATTTCGCAATTTTATGCTGTTTCTCACATCTTGTTTCTTACAAATTATGGAAACATAGCACTAAAAGCGAATTCAAAGCACGCACTGTTTTAAAATTTATTTATTTAATACTGCGAAGTTAAAGATAAATTAATATTTTATCGAAGAGTGTCATTAAATTCTAATTAGTTAACGATCAAAAACTGCCATTCCCTAGTATGTATATATTCCCATCGAAGGAAATATTCCCAAATATCAGGTCTAACTGATTAATAAAATGGAAAAAATATACAGAAGCAAAAATTATAAATACGAATACTATATCAAAATGATAGATCACCTGGTAATAAAAGAACGAATATTTTACCATCGTAGTGGCTCCATCTATTAGTACGAAAGCACAATAATGTCATGTGTCCTTTTCTATATTCTGACAATTTCAGGCACCATTAAAATTTTGCTGAGCCTGAGCGATGCAAGGTTATCATTCACAACATAGTGTTTACAGAATCGCTAATATATAATAGCTTCTAATTTCAGTTTAAGTTTCGCGTAAGCTTTTACTGTTTCTCTTTCCAATAAATTAGTAAATACATTTAAAGAAAAAGTTGTTGAACATCTTGTTGATTAATATAGTAACATAAGAGGTAAGCGTTTATTTTAATAATTAAAATTTAAAAAAACTAAATGATTTAATTTTTCATTTTAAATATAAAACATTTGTAATGGAACGTAATAATACGTCGAAGGTTACGCTATAATTCGTTCTACACGAATTGTTTCCCAGAAATGATGTTAAAAATAGGGGCAGTCGTTCCTGACATTTCATTTTATAAAAAAAAAAAAAAAAAAAAAAAAAAAAAAATCAAATTTATTTGCACGAAATTTTAATATTACTGAAATTTAAATTTATGGAAACGGTGTTGGTCCAAGGATTAATATACCGGCGAATGCAAATAATTTACATCACAGTTATGAAATTTAATAATCTTATTAGGATTACAGAATCATTGTAATAAAAGAAATCTAGCGCTGTAGTCTTTTCTCTAAACAGCAGAAAAAACAGAGAGACTTTTTTTACAGAGATTTCTCTTGAATACTTTTATAATTTCTTTGAATATTATTACTCCGCCACTGGTCTGAAGCAAAATTTTCGACATTTTCATTTGAACCTATTCGAAGAGTTTTAACCCTTGACTTAATTCTGAGGTCGTTCGACTCTTCCTACAAGATTAGGGTCAGATATGAGATATATCAGTTTCAAGAATTCTTTGGTTCCGAAGTACAAGAACATCACTAAACATAAACTCTATTTCTGATCTTCGCGAAATCGTCCATCCGAAGGCGTAAAAGCGGTACCATATATGTCGAAAAAGCAAAAATTTTAAGGTTTTGATGCATTTAAAATCTTTTTCACTTTTATGCTTGGGCTTTTGATTCAATTGACAAATGCTTCTTTTTAACCTTCCGGTATATTTTTCTAAGTAATTCTTCACTTTGCTGAAACGCTTTCTGAATATGCATGTTTAGTTTTTCATGCTTTTTGCAAACGAGGAAAGTAGTTTTCATTTTATTCTGTTAAACAAAAGGTAAGCGAATATAAAGAAAGAAAAAAAAAAAAAAAAAAAACTAAACTTTAGTTTGGAGCAATTTTATTATCGAAATTTAATAAATATTTGAATTTTGTTATCGAAGTTTAATAAATATTTTAACTAGATTATAATCAGTTCTAACAAACCTTTATTTTCACCGTTACCATCTTGTGCTCATAGTTTTTTATACTAATAGTTAATTTAGCCAGCAGAAGTATAGCACAGGCTTAGTAAAAGTGCATCTGTATACTGACACGGTTACCTACAGCAAATACTTACTTTTTTAAAATTATAACAGCATTCAGTATGAGTCCGAATATTTTTGAATGCAGGTGGTCACATACACAGCAGTGTTAGTTTGATACTTGAAAAGTTATCAAAACAAATTTTAGAATAATAAAAATGCATAATGTCTCAATCTTTCTGTCAACACCATGATGTGATTAGATATCTAATATCTAATGTAGGACAACTTGACACCGAAGCTCTTCTTTATTTATAAATATATTTAAAGAACCGGCATTCCTTTTTCTTTTGGGAGGGGGCAATGTGTTTAAATTGCATAATCGAAAGAAAATTTCATCATAAATGGGATAATAATCTTATCATCGTCACAGACAATAAAAAAACATATCACACACAACTATTTTCTAGAAAAATACAACAAGAGCTAAATAGAACAGCTCTTACTCTGCTTGTTTACTCAGTTATCTAATCGCAACGAAATACGTCATGATTTTCTTGTTTTTTCAGTTTTCTCTAAAGTAAAAAGATGGTATTTCATCCATAACACAATTCAATTTGGAAATGCCAAGAACTTAATGTATTCATCCATGAATAATATGAGCGAAAATTATGTTTTACTTGTGTACTAAGATACATTTGCCCATTTACGATTATTAGTTAGGATTTTCTGCAATTTTTTCTGTAGCCCATAAAAGGGATCTTTGAAGAAGTCTGTTAAACGGAAGCTTCAATGCAGATTGGTAGCAGTTTTGTTTACCGTTTAAATACTTGTCTGTTAATGAAGCTTTGAGCCATGTAAAATAATTCAAAAACCGCTGAAGACAGTTTCAGATATTTTAAAATGTAATTAATTAATGTAATTTTTTAAAATGTAATTAACGATTTAAAATTTTTGAATTCCATTCTTTTGTAAACAGATGAATAGAATCCTTAACAAATCTGTGCTTTCAGTCTCAGCTGAAATTCTCCTAAATGTTTCGGCCGCAGGTAAGGACTAAGTTCATCACCACAAGAAAACACTGAATTATTTTTTTAATTTTAATTTTACATAATACGCCACTAATTATTGCCCTACATTTTTTTCAGCTGTTTATGAAAGCTTGCAATCATATAAATTTCCAAGAGCAATGCATTTTTAATATGAATATTACCATCAAACAGTTGAATAGACCTGTTCATCTCTTTTAAAGATTACATAATTTTATACATCATACTGTTATACCAAATCCATGTTTTCTTCAGACGCAATTAAATCTATCACAGCATTTTATTTACTAAAAAATAAAGAAACTCATGATGCACAGATATTTACCACTTACTATGATATTCATGTAACTAATGTAATGGATCATAATTGTTTCATCTGTACTTTTTTATATTTAAACATTCTTTCCATCTGGAGATTTGAAAAACTTTCTCATTACGAGTATTCAGTGAGCGCTAGTTGAATTCCAGTTCACATTCCCACATTTAGTAAAGGACAGTACCGCTCTTGCTTCAACTTTGATTTTCATTTTGCATTTACAAATGTGAATTCCTTTCCTAGAATACTCGAAGTACTTCATATAAAGACAACCATCTAATGCAGACTAATGGAAGTTGAGTATATTATGAAAAAAAGGATTCAAAGTATAGATTTCTTTCTTAAATTTTCTTTTCTTTTCTTATTTTTTCCAAGCAATCAATTTAAATGCCTAAGATTAAAAGTAAGAAATATAACATGATGTAATTAAGAAAGGGAAATAGTTCAACATCTGTTTTTCCTAAATACAGTGGTGCTCATAAAAACTAATATAATGGTTACTGGATTATGTGGAAAACTCTTTCCTATAATGCCCATTAGAATAATTTTAAATAAAGAAACATTACAAAAAAATGCAGGATATTAAAAATACTATCATAGTTAGAAATCTTAGGAATTTATTAACAAGTTAGTCATTAAAATATTCAAATATATAACATGCAATTTATCTCAAAACTTTTCAGCCCAGTTTCATCATAGTTTAAGTAATTTTAGAATGTTTAACCTACGTTATTTATACAGAATGCATTTGGAATAACACATTCAAAAATACAATATCCACTGTAATACGATTAACATCCATTTAAAGCAATAAATTTTATTAGGAGATACTAAAATTGCTACAACTCCTCCGGAAGAAAGACATATTTTTAAGAATAGTTCAAATATGACAGAAGCAAGAAAACTATATGCGAGTCAAACTTCTACAGACCTTTCATAATCAATCATATATGTCTGCAATAATAATTCTTTAACGGTACTGAATAGCAGATAACCGGAAAGTCGGCAGACTTGCAGTGTATTGTTAAAGCAAGAAATTATAAAGAAAGGCTTTTAAAGTCAAAAAGTTATAATATAAAATTTATAGATGATACTTGACAACAGAAATTATGTGCAATTTAATAACAAACAGATACAAACGTTCCAGATAAAATTAGTAACTCAGAAAAAAATTAAGCAATTAAGTAAAACGTATTAATTTTAAAAAAATCATTGCTTGGCTGGAAATAAGTTGAAATAAGTCAAAGTGTTGGTATTGTAGTGAAAATAGTAAAACTGCAATGCCTCAAGCAGATTTTTTTATTGCTATTTTTAAGTTAAACCTTTTTTTATTTGTTTGCTGTTACGTTAGATACCTTTAAAACAATGAATAGATAGGTAAAAGTCAATTTAAAACATCTCAAAATATCATAACCACAACATGTTTACACAAGTTTGTGATAGCTATTCATCTACACAACTATTCATCTGAATTATTAAGGAAAGAGCTAGCAGCATTACAACATCAACATGGTTGCTATTATGAAAATGGCCATAAAAGAAATTAATAGTTACGTATAATGATATCATCTTCGACATAATTTTCTCATTAAGTTTCTTTAAATGACAAAATAAATAAATAAATAAAAATATTAAAATTATTTTAACCATTTTATTTCCTAATTTCAATATATAAAATGGCTATTTTTACCTTTTTTTTCATCTGGCGGTTTAGCGGAAAAGGACTGAAGTCCAACGTCTGTCGGTGAATTAATAAGAACTAAAGAAGCTACAATTCCTAACGCCACAGAAACTGTACCTAGAACAAAAATATTCGGTTATACGTGCAATATAATTATTTAGAACATATAGGGAGACATTCAATCCTAAATATCGACTTTCATCCTCCGTAGTTTTTAACTATAAACATCAAAATACCAAGATAATTCAATAAATGTGTAAATATATAAACTAGCATTCCTAAATATATAAAGCTTCAAGACGATATTTCCTTTAGAGGAAGATCATCTTGGCACTCCAAACGACATGGAAAGGTAAGACCGTCTTGGTACTTCACAGCCTTTAGTACTTAGAAATTGAATTCGACTCTAGTTCGAGGAGAGGGTACAAAAATGAAAAGCTATTTCCTACCTTCTTTTTTGAACCTTTCATAATCTTATAAAGTAGTCTGTCCTCAAAAGGTCTTACTAGCAGCAATCCCAAACGCATCTTTTTAGTCCAAAAGAGCAACTTGCCCAGAGGGACTATTAATTTCGTTTTGGCGTTTTCCGTTGTTTTTTATAAATCTCGGTTCACTTTTCAAATTGTTGCCAACAAATATTAGAGCTCTGTGTGATATTTAAAGAAATTGAATTTCTGCATAAATGCATGTATGTTTCATGCATAGTGATAAAACATCGGTACCTAGAGCCATCAAATTTTGAATAACTTACGTTTCCACCCGAATACGGGTATCTGGAAGCCGAAATTTGGAATCTGGAATTTATTTTATTATCTATTTCATATTTTGTGAAACTTTAACAAATTTTTAATTAAGAAACTTGACAATTTCAAAGTGAGCAATGGCAAAACTGTACGGAAAAGAAAAAAAATCTCCAGCGCGCAACTGTGTATCGGAAATTCTAAAAATTATTTTGCGGGTAACACACAAAATGTTAACAAGTCCTTTTGAACGTAATGTAAAATCTGAAAGCTTTAAGGTTTTTTTTTTTATCTTATTTATTTATTTATTTTCCCTCTAAGTTCGGGCTATCAGATATCTGAAGCCCACTAATGTCCAACTGAAAAGACTACCACCTTGACGCGAATTTGAATTCCTCTGAACGGCTTAGCTGCATGCGCGTTTTTACCCTATTTGTTATGCGAATACGAGACAGTCTTCTTTAAAATGTTCTCCACGAAAGTAGCCTTTCCTTTAAGGATATAATATTTGTTTGCTTTGGCATTTTTCTACTACTCAAACTAATGAATAAATTTAGGACGATAGGCTATGAAACGATGCATCTAATGTTTATAATACTTGTAATTCAAACTATCGTCAATTACACTTATAAAACCGCAGCAGTACTTACTACAAATTATAGCAGCGACAATGAATGGTGATTATTAAACAGCAGAATATATTGCTCAAAACAGTGATTCATTATTGCATTTGCTAATCATTTGTAGATGTTATTGGTAAAATAAAAATCAAATTGCGTTTCTTCTTTTTCTGTGGCCTATTCGTAGTTTTTCTGCAAATGTACAAATGGTACCTTTCATACTCGAGACATAGAACACAGGCTTTTGTTCCTGTAATTTTCTGCTACTTTTATACAGACAACATTTAAAATTACTTTTGAATCAATTAAAGAGGAGGGTAATTAAAATTCTGCGGTACACACATGAAGGGAAATTCCTTTTATCTTTTTAACATGCATATGTCCCCTTAAAATCCGATGCAAATATGTAAAGTGTGCCTGTGTGAGAATGCGGTAAGCATGTAAGGATCTTAAGTTTTACTAACGTTTATTTTATTTTAAATCTTTACTATCACTTCTTATTTTCTACTTCCGGCCAGAATTATAAGCGTGAAGGAGTTTTATGCAAAGTTTGTCTGGCGAACGCAAGTATTTAAGTGTGGCCTTTTTGCCAAGCAGAAGAGAGGAAGCCGTGAGTTCGAAGCAGGCCGCTTACCTTAGAAGTTACGCAGTTGCTACTTTGCCTTCCAGGCCAGAGGTTTTAATCCTCTTGATAAATTAAACGTATGTAGTGTTCACAGTTCTGTGCTACATACGCTTCTGTATTATAAGGCAATCTTATTCTAAAGTTAAATTAGAGTTTAGTTTTATTTGATATCTTTTAAGTTAGACCCCGAGTGGAGGGTATTGTTCGAAGTACGAAGTCATTGTATATAAAGAAAAAAAAAGGGTTTTGTATACCCTCGTCTGTATCCTGTCTACTTACTACAATTAGTGAACATAGCTTTAGTAAGCTCTCTGTTCTAGTCAGGTCATTGTATGTTTCCGAAGAAGGTTAGAAGAAACATTGAACCTGATAAGCATTATTTATGAACACTTTTTGTTTTACTACATTAACATATATATACATACTCCAACTATACCATTTCCTACGCCTCATCTGTATTATCTGATGCCTATTCAAAGAATTTAGCATTATGACAGGGAAGAACAATCTCGCGAATTAAATCTGTAATTTTTAGCTATATACACTAATATGTGAATATCGTTGAGCGTTCTTGAGACAGGTCACATTATTTTGGAGGTAGATGAGAAATCTGGATTTTCATACTATATATCCCTTTCAAGTGACTATAAGAATTCTGTCAAATATTTGGAGCTTGTAATAGAAATGTGACCATAAAAAGATTCACTATAAACAAGACCAGCATCAGTTGGCAAAAGTTACATCACGTGATAGGGCAGGACACTACCCCACGTCCTCATGTAACATGAATTCACTGACAAGGCATCAACAAACATCAACGTGAGGATTGCAGAACATTCCTTTCATGTTTGGAGCTTTAGCAACTAATGTCGAACACCAATTAGGTACGTTAAGTTAAGAGTTATGTTCCAAGTTAATTTTACGGATGTTAATTTGAAAGTTATGCTGCACCCTCGAGTTCGACAATTACGATACTAGACACTTAGTAAGTAGTCTAATCTTAATAGTAAATAGTCTAGTCTTTAACAGTCCAATCTAGCCAGTCGCATTTCCAATTGTTTCAAGCAGATAAAAAATTCTTTTTGCAAAGAAAACCCCACGAAGTCGAGGATCTCATAAGTCAAAAAGAGACTATACAGATATTAGGAAGATTCCGTACGGTATAAAGTTTACTATGTTGACCTTCAGTGGACTTATATAAGTCTGCAAACATTTCCAATAGACTAGCTCCATTTCCACATTCTTTCTGATGAAAACTAGATCAGCGGTTCTCAACCTTTTGACTAACGCCTACCATCTAAGCAAAAATTTTTAAAAATTAGTACCACGACTATATTTTACAATGATTATTTTTGAATTCCTCAAGGGAAATATTATATATATATATATATATATATATAAGAATCTACATTTCATTCAGATATATATTATATAGGAGATATAATCAATATTTATAAATATATATAATTTGCACAACCTATTGGCTATTTGTATTATATATGATCAAAATTGGTTGCTATTTTAACTATCAAAATTTAAGTTATAATACTTTAGTTCTAAAATTTAGTGTAAAATTTGGACCTGTTTAAGAGAGATAAATTTCTTTATGTTTAGTCTTATTTTACTTACTTTTAACCGTAAATTTGGATCCACTTTTAATTTTGGTCTGTATTTATTTTTCAAATATAACACGGAAGAAAATCCTTGTTCAACAAATAGCTTGTGCAAAAAAGCAATAAAAGTTTAATAGCTTTATTTGAAATGCCTTTAAATTCTTTTTCTGTGTTATTTTTAGCATACATATATGGTTATAAAATGTGTGTTATTTTTGAAACCTTCGGTTAGAGATCGATCACAGCAAATTTTTATCAATTCTTATTTTTCTTCACGAGATAAAATTTCAAGTACATTTGAACAAAATGAATTTCTAATCCATTTTCTTTTTCATAATCATTGGGAAAATATATGTTAAAGTTATTTATCAATGAAAAACAATGATTTTTTAATGTCAGAGGCGAATTTTTCTTTTATTTTCGGTTAGAAAACTTTTCAAAAGTCGTAAAAAGCTAAAAATATTACTATCCAATTCTTTGATTATTAGCTCGAATTTTTTTTATCATTGCATTTATTTTATCTCTCATGGTCAACAAATTAACACGTTGTCCATGTAATTCTAAGTTTAATTTATTAAATGTTCCATAAATATCAGCAATGCTAAACACGCCAACCATAATTCACTAAATAAACAATTTTGATATTCAAATTTTGAATCACACAGCAAAATTGAATTTCTGATCGAAGTTAATAAAGACGATTTAAAACTGTGCTTCTGGATACCCACCTTACCTCGGAATGTAACAAAAATGTTTCGTGTTCACTGCCCATCTTTTCGCATAAAATCATAAATAGTCTTGAATTTAAAGCTCGGCTTTTAATAAAATTAACAATTTTCACAGCTTGATTCAAAACGATTTTCAGGTTTTCGAGGACTGTTTTGGCTACTAAGGCTTCACGATGAATGTAACCGTGAGTAAATTTAGTTTCAGGTGAAACTTTTCTTTATTTGAGAAATAACACCGGAATGCTTTTCCTGTTAAAGCCCGAGCTCCACCACTGTATACGCAATGCATTTATACCAAGAAATACCATTCTCAGACATAAAATTATCAATTACTTTGAAAATTTCATTTGCAGTCTCTGTTATGAAGATATTCACAAAATAAATACTGTTCGGCAATTCTTTTATCTTCTTCGAAACATATGTAAACTAATAATTGAACAAAGTTCGTTATATCAGTACTTTCATCCAACTGCAATCCGAAACACTCGTTGTGTTTTATTTTTTGAATACGTGTCTCTTTTATTGAATTAGCCATTTCATTCGCCGACTTACTGTATCATTTGATAACGGAATATTATTCAATAACCGTTTTTTTCTTTGAATAATATTAAAAAGGTATCTTTAGCTACTAGAAATATAAGATTTTCTCCAATATTGTGAGTCTGCCCAGTCTTGGCAATTCTTAGGCTTACTAGGTAACTAGCTTCCAAAGTCCAAAGCTTTTTCACTTGAAATAAGAAACCCTTTCATTACTTGTTTAATATTTTTTAACTGCGATAATTTTCTCTTAAAATATTCTTCAGATTTATCCTTTAAATTGTCTTGCTTAGATTCAAGATGTCTTTTAAGAAATGGTGGTTTTATGCTTGTATAATAATTCCCCACAAACAACACATTGAGTTTGAGGGTCCATTTCATCTCCATTCCAAGTAAACCCAAATGATAAATAATTTTTCTTTTCAATATTCTTAGTGTTAGTAGATTGTCCTGGATCCACTACCTACGAATCTTCACTTTTCCGCGCTTTCAATCCTAGTCATTTCTCCATTTCGAAAATCTAGGTTTGTTTTTTTATATTTTCACAAATACATATACTTAAATGCACAGTATGTTACGAGTTCTTCAAAAACAAACGACGGTATTCTCTAATCGCGTAGAAAAGTAAAGAATACAAAGCAACAAGAGAAAAATATCTGCTGTTAGAGACAGCAAATCGACGCAAAAAATTATTCTAATTGAAAATAGATTACTATGAGCCCGCAAACGGTGGCAACATAAAGTGCAGCTATGCTAATAAATCGACCAACCTAAGGAGGAATTAAGGAGATACTATTATCTTTTTATAGGAACTTATTTTCCTATTATATACAACATCTATTTCTATTCTATAAATATATTTTATACAAACTATATCTATTTATATTCTATAAAAACATTATCAATGAGAAATTTTATTATGTCTATGGTTAAAAGAATATTTGCAAAAATAAAAACGGATTATTTTGTTAAAGTCTATGAGCGGTTATTGACCTTCAACAAAGCTCAGATCGCGTAAATTTACGAGTGTTAGAGAAAAAACGTAAAAAGGATGCTGGGATATTTAATATTTGAATTTAACAGTTAAAAATACTTTGTTTCTTTGCGTACCACCGGTTGAGAAACTCTGAACTACATCCTTTCATGTTCTGCTTAATTTTTATGGATTTTACCTCCTCTAACAGAGCAATATGTAGACATACAAGTCTAGAGATGCCAATTTTGATTAGAGGAACACTCATCGTATTTCAAAAACTTTCCATAGCCATCCAACTCACCAGATCTCTACGTTATCAGATCTGAAATGCCACATCCCGAAACATTTTGAATGGATGAGGAAATTTCGTTTGGAAAACATTTTCAAGGGGAGCCACTTTTACCGCATTTATAAAGAATAAGATTTATAAATGCAGTAAGCCATGAAATCTTTATTCAGAGGGTCAGTATTATGTCTAGATTTACTTGCAAAATTTTTAAGTACTTATTAAATTTTGACTGAATCACTTATTTAAAAGCAATTTTTTCCGGTTAAATCAAATTATCATGACCAAACAAAAAACAAAATGAGTTTACTTTGTGAACAAAACTACTCTACATTGCAAACGAACTTCTTTTATCGGCCGATAGAAACACTCCAAGATTCTACGCGCCTGTATCATTAAGAGAATTTAAAGAACCAGATGCATCGATGTACTTATACCATCTTTTTGCGAAAAATTGCATTTATTATAATAATAATCTCAATGCATTTCAACATGAACAACTATAACCACTTATTAATGAAAAATGAATACATGGTATCCTGTTTGAACATACTAATTCGTTGTCGCGTGAAGAAATGTAATCTTGAATCGGAAGATTATGAATTATTTAAGAATAGCTTACTACATTTATTAACAAAACGATTAGATCACTTTCATGACAGCCTATTTGTAACACACGAGTCGATTGTCTGTATTATGCCAAAAGGTTCCTGCAGCTTGAACGAATTTAAGGGAAAAAGAAAAGACACTTTGAATTTAGGGAAACCAATTCCGGATATCTTGAAATTTTAAGATAGCGTAGACTTTGAAAACGTCTAATAAACTGATATTACGTGAATCGCAAGGAAACTGAACCATCATGTTGGATCCATCTTACACCAGGGTAAATCAGCTATAGCTTCTCTTCTGTCCAATTCCATCTTCTTATAAGATAGATGTGTCTTGTTTAAACATCCGTTCTGATCGGAACTGAACAGTCATTGATTTGAGATAATCGACTGATATTCAGCAAACCAAGGAACCGCATGCGTTTCATCTCGAGGTGATGAAATTTAGCATTTCACGACACTGGCGCTTTGTGAATGTCCAAATGTTTTCGCTATAAAATACCTCTAGTAAAACGGACAACATTTGAACATTACACGCTTAGGGAACAAGTGCAATGTCAGCAATGCTGATTTTTGGAGATTATTTAGCATGCTGCGTTTTTTGACACTTTTTCCTCAACAAGAAAATAATTTTGTGCAGTTTATAACAGTATGTAAATGAAGAAATTCAGTGTAATATTTAGCATAAAAAAGTAAAAAATGTTTTTCTTTGTTATATACACTCTCTGTTTCGCAAGATGTTCTTTCAAATTAAATTTTACGCTGCGAACATTTTGCAATAGTTCACAAAACAATTTTTTTCATAACAGTAATAGCAAAATTGTGATTTTCTTACCCGCTATGATTAAACTGAACCTCCAACCGTAATTTATAATTAAAAATGCAGACAAAAATGGTGAGACGCCACCAGATATGTTGGCGCTGGCGGACAGGACGCTCCACCATGTACCAAACTGAGTCGGTGAGAACCACTGAAATGACAGACAGTAAATGCCCGTTAAAAACAAAATGCAGCTTTCGAAATGAAATTAAAAACCTAAAATTATAAGCTACAAATTTAATACAATGCTGCACAAATAATACTTGCAAAACTTTAGTAAAAATTATAACATAAAAAATACTAAAAGTTGATTTATGTAATCAATGCAAATACTACCCGAGTTATTTTAATATTTCGTCCGAAAATGTTATAATAAAGTTTCAATCACTAAATATCGTCATTTAACATTAATAGCAAGGAAAACAATTGTGGCGAATGAAATACTAATGTAAGAAAAAAAGACGTGAACTTAAAAGGAGGATGTATGAAATAAAATATTCAAACGATAGAATAAAACTGTTGCACCCAAAATATTGGATTAAATAAGAAATTGGAAAGGTTATAAGGTATTTCTCCCGCCTTCTCAGTATGCCTCCGTAGTGTAGTGGTCAGCACGCTGGGCGCTTATTCGAGAGGTCCGTGATTCGATTCCCGGTGAAGGCGTTGCTCATTTTTCACTTCTCCTGTTTCCAAAAGAATACCTAATGTTTCTACAAGGTGAATGTCACCAACACAGCACTTGTTCCTTCATTGCAGTTTTAAGTCAGATCTTAAGAAGAATTTAATATATGTAACAGATATAATTCGCATGTGTGAGAAATAAATTTTCTAACACGAGTTCTGGAGAATCTTATATTAATTAAGCAGTTATTTATAATTTCAGTCTTCACTATCACTTCTCCTTTCCGCATGCCCAACCAGAATGCAAATTAGTTGCGAGTATTTAAACTGAGGCCTCTAGATTTGAGATAGTGAGTGTTTCTGGCTTCGCGGGCGCACTTCGTTGTTAATTTTCTGCCAGCTCTAATAGTAGTAATTATTCGGCTTGGCAGCTTCTGGCTGGAAATACTTTAATTCTTAAGCTCTGGTATAGTTAGTGAGCCCTCTTCCAGTCATATTCAATTGGGTAGTACTTGACTACGATTCAATGTCTGATTTAATTTGGCCTGTTCTATATATTCTGAATCACCATTTCCATGAGTTGTGGAAATTGTTAGCACAAGAAAGTACCCTTATATTCTAAATCCTGTTGAAATAAATAAAAAAGTTTATTCTAACCTTCTCAAGACTTTGCTGTTGTTTTAGGCATAGCGATAGGTTACTTCACGTCTGTTAGGCTTATAAGTCTAAATTAGCATTACCAGATTAAGTATATTCCTATAAAGTGATAGTAAATTCAAATAATTTATTTCTCCAAACTGTAACTGAACCAAATATTTACTCAGCAGCTGAAACTTGTCTAAAACGCTACCCTTCGCAAGAATGTCTGTAAAGTTCTGGGGATTTATAAACGCAAAACTGCCAACAATAATAATAAGAAAATAATAGCAGCAATAATGACACTAATAATAGATGATCTGTATCATATTTTAAATTTCACTTTTTGAGTAGTCACAATGATTATTTTTCTTTCCAAAGTTCAAGTGATGAGCAATGTGAAAGTATCTGCAATTTCTTATAAAATTTTTCTGATACTGAGAAAGGTTTTCCAACCTATTAGAATCTTAGTATGCTTTCTGACATCTGAATCTTCACGAGAGATATTCTTAAGTATTTTAAGTATGCCAAAAAGTCGTACATCTTTCATGGTTGGTTTGGTTTAGTTAATTACAACAAATCACTCGAGGGCTATTTGCCTGAGAGACGGGATGCCTTTGTGGAGGCCTTTCTAAGAGAAACTGGATCGTATAACGTTACACATGGAGAAAACCACGAAAACGCCCATGCAGCCAGTCCGCTTGCCGGAATTCAAATCTCAGACCTAACTACCACGGTTGGCTGCAGATCGTATGCATTTCATGTTTTAGATAAATTACTTCTTTGACGTCTATATAAATTTATGTATATATATATGAAATATGAATTATAATTATATATCAGAAAAATTCCTTGTGTAATAAGAAAATATTAATAACAGACTTTTTCAGTTATTTATAACAATTCAGCAACAAAAAATCTGCTTCATTTGCCTACTTTGATATGTTCTTCCGATTTTAAATACTATTTTATGTGGGCCGAGAGTTTATTTTAAAATATATTCCAGACATATGAAAAGTAATAGCTGTTTTGTTTTACGCCAGTTTGTTTAGCCTACGAAATGCTTTACTCGAGCATTCTATACTTTCAAGGGGAAATTTTGATTTTAACACCCACTGGTTACCATTTTTTGCAGTGTAGAGATAGCCAACTTGTTAACCAGTTTTATTCAAAGATCAGATACTTGTAAGACTATAAACTATGTAAGACACAGAAGAAACGTGAAAACAGATTTCTCGAAAGTTTTATTCATTTGTGCCTTTGTAAATATTCAGCCTTCTCAACAAAAACTTTCGACATTTAGTGTACTTTTAAAAAGTATCTTAGAATCACTCACTATCAGCTAAAAAGATTCATCTTGATATTTCGTATTTTTCCTCACCTGACGTAAAATTTTTGAGCAAGCAGGCCAACCACAGCCTTGTCCAAAACCATTGAGAAACCAAAGAAGAGCGAAAACTTCCACTGAAGAGCAGCTGGCGAAGATTAATGTCACTAAACCACAAGCAACAAGACCACTTGAAAGCAGCAGTTTCGCGCTGATTCTGTCGGAGAGGACTCCACCAAGGAACTTACTTATCGCATATGCGACGTTCTGACTGCTGATTATAAGACCTGCAAAATATATTTATTTAATTTTCGGTCCAAAATGAAATGCTTATTTGAAATATTAGAATACATAAAGCATAAATAATATCATCGAAATAGCTATCCTATAAAGATGAAATTATTTCCTGAAATTTTATATTGCTTTTACTGACGATGAATCAGGCATGATGTTCCATTCGTAGGAGACTCGAACTATCGTCTAGTACAAACATAATATAGAAGGCAGGCAAATGTAATTGAGATAGTACATACCTTGAAAGACATCCTACAATAAATAACTTACAACAACTGTTTGTCCAGTACCTTCAAGTGACCGATTCCACCTTGTAGATACTCGACAAAACGGCGCATAATGTTTCGAACGTTTCTGAGACAAGTACAGCAATTATAGTGGTTATGCGCTCTAAGTTTTCTGGACTGTGCATAATCTGTTAGCATTGATATTAACTTTCAATATTCTTCAGGAATATATATTTAGAGACTGAGATTTGAGAACCTTGTCGGTCTGCGAAGCTTGTTCTAACAATTTCAACGTCTATGATAGAAAAAGTGCAAGAAGTGCGTATACAAGAAGTGCAAGGCACTTGTTTTTGAAATAAAACTTGAAAATACCGCACATTGAGATTTCTAAAGGGTGTACCAAAATTAACGCAAGATTTGAATTAAATAAAAAACACAGTTTTTCCCCTTTAAATTGATATTTTTTATTGAATCGTAGAGTACACTTTATGTATGGTCACACGCATCCTAGTTTTAATATCCGCGTTTCCGAGAATTTCCGACCTTTATCTGTGGTTTGCAAGTGATGAGTCGGTACTACCGAACCGGGTATTTTGTAACGGGTACTGAAAATCGGTACATCCAAGTACCCGTTACTTCAGTACCGAAATCGGTACTTTTCGGTATTCGTTACTTCTGTACCGAAACGGGTACTTTTCGGTATTCGTTACTTCTGTACCGAAACGGGTGCTTTTCGGTATTCGCTACTTTGTAACGAAAATATGCGTCTCTTCTCGGTATTTCGGTATTCGTTACTGGAGGATCGATGAGGGTTCAGCTCACTTCGGTTTTGGTACGAGGACAGTAGTATCTGGTTGTATTTGCGAAATGGTGATATGCGCTCCTTGTGTCCATGAATGACCTTGAAATAGGGCATGGAATGGCAAACGTGAAAGGGGGAACTTCCGTTCCGTTCGTCACGGAGACTAGAGTTTGAGGTAGTATAATTAATTGCCTTTGTGTGCGCGGGAGGACGAGTGTGAAATAGTGGAAATTTTTCGAAAGGCCGTTCGTTGTGTGTGTGTGTGGGGGGGGGGAATAGTAGCAGTTGGAGTCACTGTCGCCGGCATTGCTCGCTTGTGATTGGAGTCGGTATAGTCAGGAGGGAAAGGGTGGGGAGCGCTAGATGATTTGCAATCCGAATTGTGCATGTTTTAATTTTTCATCGTTTGTAGAAGAAAAACTGCGTGGATCTGAAATGATTGATTTGGTAAGTTGCTGTTGTTGGATTGGTGAATGGAATCAACTACCAACTAGATTACTTCCTTTTCCTCAACATATTTTTAGCATAAATCATGAAAAATATTTTTCGTTTGCTTGCTTAATAGGGCAACGTAAATCATATGATCCTTTTTAAATAAATATGATCCTTTTTTTATCCCGCTGTACCTACTTCAGAAAATGTCACAGCATCTAGTGGATCACTAAGCCAATCAACATAAAATACAGACGCAATTTTAAACTTTTCTAATGAAAGAACAAAGATAACTGACCCACTTATGATAATTCTTCCCCCTTCTAAAAACAGATTTTCATCTCGCCAAAAACTAAACCCAGGTCACGTGCCTAACGCAGGATTGTCAACGCCTGCTTTACCCCCCAGGACGTGACGACGCTCCTCCGATAGGAAGAGAGGTGAATGACCTGGCAGTCCGAATCTTCTTTTTTTTTTAACTCCCTCTGGAGCTTATTTGAGGGGGGGGGGAACTATCGAATGGAACATCGGAAATTATCCGGACATGTTTATGTAAACATACATGTCCCTCCCTTTTTTCCTTTCATTTTTTGCTCTTTCATGCCTGATTAATAGAATCATTAGGAGATATTGCACTTACCCTTTTAACAGCGTAGTGCTGATTTTAGAATTTGCAGCTGGAGTGAACAGCGGAAGTCGTTAATAGAATTTTTTTTATGCTTATCTGACGATGCTGATGACCATCTCCCAACTTCGTCACTTTTCCCATAAGATTCATTCTTGTCTCGTACTGGTGAGTATCGGTACGTTATAGAATTGCTTAGTCTCTATCAGTTTCTTATGCCTCAGAAAAAAAAAAAATCGAATTACAAAATGTCTAGTAAGAAAAGGAAATTCAGCTTTATTTGGCAGCACTTTTCCTATACTAATGAAGACGAAAAAGTTATGTGTGACATTTGTAAAGACCTTTTATCCATCAAAGGTGGTTCAACAGGAAATTAAAAAAACATTTGCAAAGGAAGCATCCTTGTGTAAATCTGCACGAGAAACGCGCTTTGCCGAATCAAGATGTTGATGATATTGATGCCGCTCCAGCCCGTTCTGTCGTCACTAGCCCTGCAGATGGTGGGCAACCATGCACATCCCAGCAGACTACACAACTTACGGTAGACAACAGTGCTTGTGATATTGTTGGTGTATTTTCACAAAAATCCCAGTCCAGCATAATGCAGTTTGTCCAGAGAAATACGATGGATGTACATAAAAAAAAGTAATCGATCTCGCGCACTGATCAAAATGGTATATAAGGATTTACAACCAATAAGTATCGTAGAAAATGAGGGATTCCGAGAATACTCAAAGGCTTTGAATCCAACCTATTCCTTACCTTCACGGAAAACGGTTTCTAAATCCTTGCTTCCTGCTGCTTATGAAGAAAAAAAGAATAGTTTAAAAAACGTTCTTAGTGCTGTACAAAATATCTGTTTGACTGTAGACTGTTGGAGCAACCAAAAGGCTGAAAGTTACATGGCCGTGACAGGCCATTTTATTGACGAACACATGCAAAGGAAAACGGTACTGATTGACTGCTCAATTTTTGATGAACGTCATTCAGCCAAAAATATTGCAGAAAATATCATACACATTTGCCAACCATATTTTCCGATGGAAAAAGTGTCTTTAATAGTGACTGACAATGCCAAAAATATGATTAACGCTGTCGACAGCGAACTAAAGTTAAAACATTTAGGATGCATTGCACACTCTCTCAATTTGGCTGTCACAAATTCTCTAAACGAGGTTAACGACCTTCTAACGAAAATTAGGGATATTGTGATAGTTTACAGGAGAAGTAATATCGCTGCAAAAAATCTGCGAAAATATCTGTGCTCTAGCGAGGAGAGAGAAAAGACTTAAAAGTCATCTTAGATGTGAAGACTCGTTGGAACAGCACGTTTTATATGGTAAAACGTTTCCTTGAACTGAAAGACGCTATTCGTTCTACAATGGGTTTGATGAACGACCCCCCAGAGGCTCTTGATGTGCCAGAATGGGAAAGTGTCCAACATCTTTGTGACGTTTTGAAACCTTTTGAAAAGGTGACTTGCGAGTTGAGTTCGGAAAAAAAATACTTGTCAGCATCTATGGCGCCTGTGTTAATCGGTGGACTTAAAAAAAATCTGTGAAAATCTGCTTAGTAAAAGTGTTAATGAACAAGTACAAAATGTGGTACTAGTACTACAACGTGAATTGGGTAATAGATTTACAACTATCAATTCAAGAGAAGACATTGCTCAAGCCGCTTTCCTTGACCACCGAATTAAAAAAATTGGGGTTCAAATGTGATGTCACCAAAAATTTGAAAGTGATATTATCTGTGAGTGTTGAGGATGTGGAAGGGGATGATGAAGAGATAGACGAATCATCGGTTTGGTTCGAGTTTGAGAGTAAAGACTCTCGAACTTCATCAGCTCCCGCAGCAGACGCGGCGATCGACAAAGCTGCGGCAGAAGTGAAAAGATACCTGCAAGAGCCCATTCTTTCCAGGAAATTTGATCCACTGGAGTGGTGGGAAAAGAATAAAAATGTATTTCCTAATTTGTATGAATTATCACGGAAAAAATTAGGCCTTGTGGCTACTTCAGTGCCATGCGAAAGGGTGTTCTCTAAAGCTGGATTAATACTGAATGATCGGCGAAACCGTTTGAGTGGACAAAAGTTGAAACAACTAATTTTCTTACATTACAATTATAATATTTAATCATTTGTTGACCTTCTTAAAATTCCAACCTAAGTTCAGCTTAAAATGTTTATTTCTATGTTTATTTTCGCTGCATTATTTTCAAAACTGTTTCTGGGAGTCAATTTTTTTATGCTTAATTTTTCGTTACATATTTTAAGTGGTCTTTATAAAAAAAAATAGAAGGAATTAAATGCCTAAAATTTCCATAAAGTTAAAAAATTTGATACTTTTATAACGTTTTGCACAGCCTATCAAAGTTTTATTTGTTTTAATTAAATGAAATATTACTTCATTCAAATGTCAATTTCTTAAAAAAAATATTATTTTGAAATTGTATTTAGATTATTAATATAATATAAAGTTCTACAGTTCTATTATTTACTTAGCTGTACTCACATATGTTAAGTTCTCATATAGTTGAAAGCATGCTATCTTATTTTCTAGTGTTTAAATCATCTTTAATTTAAATTTTTATATCGAATGTACTTATTGAATTCATATAATGCGGTTTTACAAATATTTTTGTTGCTTTTTGCTGTTACGGCGTCCAGATATTACGTTCTCGTAGTTTTAAAGACATGCTGCCTTATTTCCTAGTGTTTTTAATAATCTTTCCCTCAAAATTCTTATGTCGAATGCACTTTGGCTGTAATTTGAGTTTTAAAAATAATTTTTACCATTGTGTTGCATTTTTGTGTTTACAGCAGTTACTGCATCTCACAGTTTTAAACCCTTTGCTATCTTATTTTCTAGTGTTTTTTGATAATCTTCAATTCAAAATTGTTATATTGAATGTGCCTTTTAAAATCATATTGTGCGTTTTTAAAAATATTTTTAACCATTTTGCTGAAATTACTTATTTACTTAGTACTGTAGTACATCCAAATATATTACATTATCTCACTTTTCAAAACATACCTCATTTTCTAGTGCTTTTGGTAATTCAAAATGTTTAAATCAAATATATATGTTTATGCATTCATATTTTTTTGTTTTTAAAAATATTTCTAATCATTTTGTTGTTTATTGTACGGTGCCAAATCTCCAAAAGTACAAATTTAACTCAAAAATAAACCTAAATGTAATTTAAAAAGGAACAGTATAAACTTTTTTGTGGAAAAGCTCTTCAACCATGTGTATATGAATAAATGTGTAAATTTTATTTTATGCCAGTATTGTACAATTAAACACACAAGGTCATTTATGTTATATTTAATGTTTAAATTATCTTACTTTTTTATTCAGAATTTTTAATATATATAGGGGAGAGTAGAGAATAAGAGATTTATCTTTTTTAAAATTTGGTAGCTTGAATAAGTTTTATTTCGCAGTGGTACTGAAGGTCATTATCTTATCTATAAGTGGGATAAAGGTTTGTGATTATTTTAATTTCTAGACCCTACGCACCCCTATGCCCTTTACTACCGAATTGAAGGTATTAAACGACTTCTGTGGTATGTTATTTATCCGTATAAATAAAAAATATCATGTTAAAACAGATTGATCATTAAATTTCTGATATTTACTTAGGAAACTGCATCCTATCGGGTTGCTACACAGCTAGTTATAGTTAATTTTCTATTTTAAATTTATTGCGACATTTTTACTCATAGTATAGTGTTGCATCAAAATTTCTATTTTCCGATTTTTTTCCTTTGTTTCCCTCCAACAACACAACACAACACAGCCGAAAAAAACATAGTGTACTCTCCCTTCCTTCAATATCATAGAAAAAAAAAATCTTCCGACGTTTTTCAAGTATGCAACTATGCTCATTTGGGGCTGTCCATAAATGATGTCACACTTTTCTGCAACATTTTGGACCCCCTCCCCCTCTTTGTCACAAAGTGTCACACTTCAACATACCCCCTCCCCCCTTTGTCACATGTCACGCAATATTACGTAAACTTATACTTGCAGTTCAAAAACGTAGCACTACGTTATAGATCATATTTCAGACTTTATTTTTAAATTTAAACTATATGTTTTAATGACATCTGTAAATATAACAATAATAATGATTTGTGCACTTATTTTGTATGAAATAAGAGAAAAGTTTACAGCAAAAAACATAATTAATACACAATAGCAATAAAATTACAATTTCTGCCGCTACCCTATTCTCAAAACCTACTCTGAATGCCTTTTTTTTTTTTTTTTTTTTTTTGGAAAGAAAGGAATGTAAGAAAAAAAAAAAAAAAAAATCACATGAAAGTTGCTTTCGCCCCAATTAAGGAAATACCTTCAAATTTTGGTAATTTTAAAATAACTTCAAAATTCAATCTGCTGATTTTAAACATTTTTATTTTAATCAAAATATGATGTCACACTTCTTGTTACCCCCTCCCCCGCCTTGTCACAAACTGTCACAATTTCACTAACCCCCCCTCCAAGCGTGACATCATTTATGGACGACCCCTTTCACGAAATTGATAGAGCACCCATCGATTTTGCTGCACCTGCACACAAGACACAACCGAAAGCGAAAATGTTTCCATCCATCCACTTCCCGCGCCAATCCTCCCAACCCCCACTGGCCATCAAAGACAATCTACACAAACCCAACACCAGAAAAGAAACAACCGCCGCGCTCTCCTGCTCCTCAGACACTTCCGTAGTTGACATGTTTTCTGATATTCAAAATCTTACTCCATACAGATAAAATCAAACACGTGGTGACGTGGCAGAGTTCCTTCAGTTCGCTTGGGTACTTCGGTACTCTAAATCGTTACTAGGGTACTCCGGTACAGCAAACCGTTACTAGGGTACACCGGTACAGCAAACCGTTACTCCGGTATTTCGTTACTTTGGTACTCCAAATCGTTACTTGGGTACTCGGTACTTTTCATAGTAACAGTTACTTGAGTAATGGGTATTTTGTACCGGGTACTTGTCTGTAACCGTTACTCTCGTACTGGGTACAAGAAAGTACCGAAGTTGCCCATCACTATTCAATAGTCCTTTAAAAGACTTTGCCCTATGCTACCATGCTAAAATTAAAAAGGAAAAAGGCAAGATTCTCGTGGACGGCCGAAGCCAATAGTGCTTTGAAAAATTAAAAACAAGCGTTAACGCAAGCCCCTGTTTTGAAATTTCCTGAGAACGATGAGAATTTAGAAATTTCAGCGGATGCTTCGGATTTATGCGGTAGGAGCAGTACTTTCCCAAAATCAGCAGCCCGTGGCATTTTTTAGTAGAAATTTAAATGAAACTCAAAGAAAATTATTCCGCGACTGAGAGAGAGGCACTTGCAGTTAGTTCTGTTAGCAGTGCAAAAGTTCCGAGTCTATTTTGGAAGTGCGCCAGTAACAGTGTATTCTGATCATGCGGCGGTAACTAGATTATACTCAGGAAAAAATTTATCCCCAAGGTTAATAAGATGGGCACTCAAGTTACAGGAGTATAATTTGGTAATCAAACACACCCCCGGAAAGGAAAATATCGTAGCAGATGCCCTATCCAGAATAAAAATAGATGAAGAA